CTATTCAGCAGGAAATCCCTCTTTCTACGTTGATTTATGTAAACTGGCAGGGGATAATTGGTTAAATGAGTGTGATCTGGACGGAGGGCAGGCTATGGGTGCGGTGAAATACACATGTCCAGCTCTGGGAAGCCCTGGTTGTGAGGGAGATGGCCATCTCCACCGTGCTGTCAGGGGTCGTGAAACCACAGTAGACTGGATGGAAAACAGGGGAAGGGACCACCATAGTAGCCTTACACGCAGCGGGGCTGCAAAAAGCTGTAGCAGTCTCCACTTGTAACCCTGTCGCAGTAACAGTAACCCAGGGGAAGGTTGGCAGACTGGATGCACCTTGGCTATGAGACCATGTCTCCTTGTACGACCCCGGGTTTGAGTTTACCATACAGAGGATGCAGCCCAAACCCCTGCTTAATCCTAGGAGTCCAGTGAGGGAAGTGATGCCTCAGTAAGACCCCCACAACCAGGACCACCGTCAGTAACCACACCTCGGAAGTAAGCGCCCCGGAAAATCTTAACACCCCACAGCCTTGTTGCCTCTGAGGGTTTGTAGACCCCTACTGGACCCCATGTGTCTCAAATGCTGGGTTTACTAGAACCAACCAGACTGAGTTATGTGTTCCTGTGAGAGTCAACTATTTGACTCCCAAGTGAAACCAGCAGGAAATGTGACAAGGTGGGGTGTTCTAAAAGCGTGAAACCTCAAGATGGTAGAAGTAGAGGTGTGTGGGTTGTTGACTGAGCATTAAGGAAACCTCTGGTACCGGAGGGAATCAGATGCCACATGGTTAACTGCTCCTAACAGAATGTGGCTTTGATTTAAAAACCCCCCGCCACTGCAACTCACTGCCGTCTTCTCCGGACTTGCTTGGTGGGAAAGGCAGTCGCCAGCTGGCTATAAAGACTCCTCATTTGATCTCAAATCCTCACTGTTTTAATCGTGTACCCTGTAACAATCACTCCATCAAATTTAGACAATCAAAATACCCCCCGAAAGACAGATTATAGTACATCTTAGTGCAATTAGTGAGAGCTGAGAATAAAAGGACAACTCCGATGGTTGAAGTTTGACCGCAAATGAAAGCTATCTGAGGTGCTGGAACTGTGGCACAGCAGGTAAAGCTACCGCCTGCGGTGCTGGCAATCCCATATGGGCGCCGGTTTGAGCCCCAGCTGCTCCACTTCCCATTCAGCTCTCTGCTATGCCTGGGAAAGCAGTGGAAGATGGCCCAAATGCTTCGGCCATCTTCCACTGCTACCCCAGGCCATAAGCAGAGAGCTGGATCAGAAGAGGAGCAAGTCGGCGCCGTGACTCAATAGGCTAATCCTCTGTGGCACTGGCACACCGGGTTCTAGTCCTGGTCGGGGTGCCAGTTCTGTCCCGGTTGCCCCTCTTCCAGGCCAGCTCTCTGCTGTGGCCCGGGAGTGCAGCGGAGGATGGCCCAAGTCCTTGGGCCCTGCACCCCATGGGAGACCAGGAGAAGCACCTGGCTCCTGGCTCGGATCGGTCAGTACGCCGGCTGCAGCGGCCATTGTGTTGTGAACCAACAGAAAAAAAGGAAGACCTTTCTTTCTGTCTCTCTCTTACTGCTCACTCTGCCTGTTAAAAAAAAAAAAAAAGGAAGAGAAGCAGCCGGGACTTGAACCAGTGCCCTGGGATGCTAGCACCGCAGAGGCCTAGCCCACTATGCCGCAGTGCTGGCCCCGACCCCAGCATCTTGCTTAAACACTACTACGGTTGCCTCAGATCTGAAGTGTATCACTGCTCTTGAAGCCCTGAAGGTCTATGTGTCCCAAGGCACGGTCATGCTGGCCCCCGTTCCTGCACCCCCGGAGCTGATGCTGCAGTCTCAGTAACTTCAGAATCCGATACCAGAGAGTTTCAGGGTCTGTTACAAAGGGAACCCAGCACTTAACCCTTTTCTTGCAGACTTCCTGAGTTCTCACCACTCCTAGTTCATCACCAGGGTTAGTGATCCATGGGACAGCGCTGTCCTGTCACTGTGCCCACATCATTCAAAGGAGCTGCAGATAATCCTTGATAAAGACCTCAGGGAGCAGGTTGCAACATTCTGAAGAAGCTTCAAGTCCCTTTTCTCCCAGGTCGCACAGCTGGACTGCTGTTTCTAGCCTGTGACTGAGCGCCAGGCACCAGGGTGAGTGGACATATTGCGGGCTCACTCATGCTGGGGCCCCAACCATGCCTTGGGGTTCCTCTCACCTCCTTCTCTTTCTGGTTGGCTGCAGAGAGTGAGGAGTGGGCTGAATGGTGGCCTCCAAAAAGGTATGCCCACGCTCCAACACCTGGAACCTGGAACTTTACTGGGGAGAAGGGTCTTTGCGGATATCAACTAGGGATCATGGCTTGACTGGGTGGGTACTACGTCCCATCTAGGGAGGGACATATGTCCATGTAAGAATCAGAAGGGGACAAGCCACAGAGAGAAGGCCACGCAAAGATGAGGCTGAGATAGAGGTCTGCTGCCCCAAGCCAAGGACTACTTCGAGCCACAGAAAATGGAGGGGGCAGGAAAAGAGCTTTCCCTAGCACCTGCAGAGGGAGCACAGCCCTGCCCACACCCTCTGAACTTCTGCCCCCAGGACCATGAGAGAATCCCCTTCTGTTTTCTAGACACCACATTGTAACTTCCCAGGGCAGCCTTGGAAGTGACTACGGGAGGCTGCCCAGGGTGAACTTGGAAGCCAGAGGCTGGAGATGGCCGCCTTCCAGCCAGCTGGGTCCCCGCACGGCCTATTCACCACCTCCCTAGCAGCATTCTATTGTACCAGCAAGAAACCACTCTGTGTCTGAGATCCTTTTTGAGCTTCTGCATTATAAAGTTGAAACCAGTTAGTTTTGCAGCAAAGGAGTATTATATCATTCCCAAACTTTATTCAATCATGATTCCCCAGAGCAATACTATTAAACACTTTTCAATGGAGAGAAGTAATGGGGGTAGCTGCAGGCCAGTGCTCTGAAACTATTAACTTATTATTTTTTAAGGATTTGTTTGTTTGAAAGGCAGAGGCAGAGAGAGAGAGAGAGAGAGAGAGAGAGGTTTTGCATCTGCTGGGTCACTCCCCAATTGGCCGCAACGACTGGAGCTGCGCTGATCCGAAGCCAGGGTCCGGAAGCTTCTTCCGGGTCTCCCACGTGGGTGCAGGAGCCCAAGGACTTGGGCCACCTCTTACTGCTCTCCCAGGCCATAGCAGAGAGCTGGATTGGAAGTGGAGCAGCCAGGACTTGAACTGGAGCCCATATGGGATGCCGGCACTGCAGGCGGCGGCTTACCTGTTACGCCATGGCACCAGCCCCAAAACTATTAGCTTTTAACCGAAATATTTGTTCAAGCCCAAGAAAGATACTACGACATCAACGCTGTTGCTAAGTGAGACAAGTTCAGAAAGGCAGTGTTAGTGAATCTCATTTGAGCCTGGACTTCACAAAGGTCAAGGAATCAACGTGGGTTCCAATCCTGAACTATTCGCTTCTCTACTCCAGTGCTGATAGCAGGCAGAATTACTAAGCAGTTGGCAGCTTGAGCTCTGGAACTACCTTGCCTGGGTTTAAATCCCACTTAATGGTTATCTCTGTGACCTAATTTGTCTAAGTGCCTTCTGTAAATGGGAACAATGCTGGAGTTGTAGCAGCCAGGGGGATGGGGACACTTAGGGTGTCTTCTTGACACAGGCTCAGGTAGCTTTCCACTGGGTCACTTAGCAAGACTGGAACTACATTCCCTGCAATGCCCTGGCTCACGTGGTCTGAGGTCCAGGTTGGCTCCCAGAGCAATCTGTACAGGATTTGGAAGATGCACCCAAGCAGCCACACATCTGCACTCGGCAGGCTGCCGCAGGGCCAGGGGAACACACAGAACAGAGCTGTGGGCCCGCCTGTTGATGGGGGACACTGGTAGGCCTGAAGCTCCTCCAGCCCCATTGGAGCTCTTCCTTCAGCTTCCTCAAGTCCTGGCCACATACTTGTACAGTTTCTAGAAGCAGCCAGCTCCCCTTGCAGCTTGCCTCGTCACTGAACTTGGGAGGCAGGCTCTGCTTACCCGAGGTAAACTCTCCCACTTCCCATCCATCTCTCCTTTCTGACAGTGCCCCTGCTGGCTGCAGGTCCGGCACCGCAGCCCACAGCAGCCTTGCGAAGGCTGGTGAGCCAGCTCCTACATTGTTCAGGCCAAGCACTTAGAATAACCCCCTTCTGCCTTGTCTCTTCTATGGTTCTGTGGCTGACCATGCCCAACACTGAGCTGCACAACCAGACACTTCCCCACCCAGGGGCAGGGCCTTGGCTGTTGTCTACACAGGGAGCAGGAAATGGCCCAGAGTGCCATTGCCTGAGGCCCGCCTCCCAGGAAGTGGAAGCCCTGCCTGGGTAGGGGCTGGGGCACTGGGAAGCTCCTGGGCTCCATACAGCCATGGCTGTTGGTGCTTCCACTGGGGTCCCCTCTTCATGCTCCCTCTCACTTCCCTAGCCAGGGCTCAGCACTGTGCTAAAACATCCTTCCCTCCAACTCCAGGATCTGCTTTCTCAATTCTCTCGTTATCTCTTCTTTCCCTTTCTCTCTCTGCAGCTAACCTTTGAACAAGGAGGAGACTGAGATGTGAAGAAGTGTAAGGCTATGGGAATCAAAGCTGCTGTTGTCATGTAATCATCAAGTTGAAAGCACAGGTGCCAGAGCTAAGGACGGGGTCCACGCGGTGCGTTGACTGCAAGTGTAATTAGGTGAGTGAAGGAACCACCTACTGCCTCCTAGTCTTCTTACCAGTGTTCTCAACTCCTACTTTAGCTGCCTTCTGTGGACCACGCACCTGCTATTCTTCCATGGAACAGAAGTCCCACAGGTCTAAAGGGAGGCTCTGAGCTGGACAGACCATTCCCACAGGTGTCTCTAAAAGTGAGGCATTTGCCTCTAAGGGAACAGGTGCACAGCCGGGCTCGAGTGATGAGGAATACTTCACGTGTCTGAATTCACAAATAACAGGTGCAGACGCTCGTGGCAGACTCTTTTATTAGGAAGCAGACCCTTCCTGCTGGGCCTAGCTCCTGACAGGCCTGATCAGCAGCCCCGTCTTACAGAGCTGGGGAGCGCGGGGAACCGCCCTCAGGAGGGGCCGTCCTCTCCATCTGCACGGTTTCCACGCAGTGCAGCACTGCAGCTGTCACTCCCGACGGCAGGATCACGGAGACCTTCTACATTCGTACATATATATTTACTTTAATCATGTTTTAGAAATCAGCTCTTCCACGCTAAGATTTACAATAAAAATAAAATAATTTGTTCTGTAAACTATAGTAGAAAGTTTCAAACGTCTTAAAAACTGTCTTCCATACAATGGAAAAAGGCGTTAGTGTTCTTTTTGGGCAAAAGAAGTCCCAAATTCGCTGGGAAGACGCACGGCGCTGCCGGGGCGACGCTGGCAGCACCGCTCGCTGCGCAGGCCTGCTGGGAGAACAGAGCCGCCTTCTTCCCTTCGGGCTCAGAGTCAACGCTCCTCTCCCCCGGGGCCGTCCCAGATGCTTACGGCTGCTCTGCTGCTGCCTGGTCCTTGGCAGCAACAACAAGCTCGGACAGAGCTGGGAAGCTTTTTATGCTGCTTGTTTGCAGGCCCATCTTTTGTATCTGCAAAGGCCACAGAATGAATCCTGTTACTGCAATTTAAGCCGAACGGGGAAAACCAGACCCGCATAAAAAACGGAACCACAATATCCACCCCACCCTCTACTACACCAGGATAAGACTGGCAGGACACTTTCTCCTTTACAGCGAACGTTTATCCTGTTGCAAAATGCTACTGTTCTGGGGTCAAACACTGCATCTTAAGAAGCTAGTTCGCTGATTTATCTCGGTCTATGAAATCAGACTTCATCAGGATAAAAGCCTCTTTTGTGGACTTGAAAAAAAATGCTAGGAGAAAATTTCCCACTGAAAGAAATATAAAAGTGATTTTTTTTAAGTGGAAGATTTTCAAAAAAAGTATTAGCCTGAGCTTACTTTCTTAACATACCACTAGCAATCTTTTCTTAGAGTCTGACAAATTGAGGAGACTGACACAGCAACTGGGGCGTACTATGGTGACCAAGACACGACACACTATGTTCCAACTTTTGTATTATGAAAGCAGTAGCACCTCCCCCCACCCCAGGGGAGATCTGTCCACCCTCAGTGACCAGCTCTGGGCCCCAGGACCACGGGACTGTCTCTGCTCTTGCTCCTCCTCTCCATCCCTCCCTTCTTCCATTTCTCTTTAGCTTTTTCACTCCTCATGTTTCAAACAACAAGCTTTCCTGCTTGTCAAAAGATTTTAAGTTTCTTTTGTGACAAAGAAACAAAGCGAGTGCCTTTTGCCAGGACATATCTCTAAAGTCACCTCACAGCAGAAAAAACATTTTCAGTGATGACTCATGTATAAAAGAAATTCCTTAGTGAGCTTGAAAACCAAGTATCTTCTGATGGAGAGTTTACGGTTTCATTCCCTTTTCTCTGGCAAAGGTCTTCCTTTTTTTTTTTTTTTTTAAGGTTTATTTATTCTGTTGTTTGTTTACTTACTTGAAAGTCAGAGGGAAAGAGAAAAGGAAACAGTGAGACAGAGATCTTCATTCTGCTGGTTCACTCTCCAGATGGCTGCAACAACAGGGCTGAGGCAGGACGAAGCCAGGAGCCCAGTGGGACTCCACCGGGGTCTCCCATGTGAGTTGCAAGGGCTCAAGTGCTTGGGCCATCATTCACTGACTTCCCAGGCACATTAGCAGGGAGCTGAATTGAAGCAGCGCAGCTGGACCTGAACCAGAACTCTGGCATGGGATGCCGGGGTCACACCTGAGCCCGCTGCGCCACAGCACCTACCCGCGAAGGTCTGCCGAGGCTGAGAAGCCAGCTTCTCAACAGCTGAAAGCTGCAGGATCCTATGAGGACGTCACCTCAGCAGGAGCGAAAGGCACTGCGTCTTCCACACTGCCTCCCGAGTGACGGCACGCTCGGCATCAGCCAGCCCTAGGCAATGATTCTAAACCTTGGGCATTAACTCGGGCAGAGAAGCAAAGCTGTGCTCAGACACCTCTCACGTACCACAGGGGAATGCTTGCTTTCATAGTTATTCTAAGTACTTCAAAAGCCCAATTACGCGGCAGGCAGTGGGAAAAAGGGCACTGTCTGTCATGGGCTCGAACTTCATGGACCCGCAGACGTCAACAGCAGCGAAGCTCAGGCAATCAGACTGCAGAGGGATTTCCCAGTATTCCTCTTTGCTTTCTCACAGTTCCTAGGTAAAAACCCCGAACCTTTCAGGGTAATCTGGGGCATGACTCTCACTCGACACCACAACAGCACCTCAAGGCTCAGCGAGCCACCAGGCACCAGCTGGGCCCTCAGACTTTGGTTTTGGACTCGCTGTCAGTGCCAGCAGCTGACGAGTTACCTGCTCTCCCAGGTACTCCACATCCAAGGCCAGCTGCAGCCTGATCTTGTCGTCATCGCTCATGCCACCGCTGGGACCGACAGGGGTGGTGGGAGTGGTTTTTCTGGCTTGTTTCAGCCTTTTCAGGCTCTCTTCCATTTTCCTCACAGAGTTCAGGACATCAGACACAGTTTCATAATACCTTGGGCATAAGACAGTTACCGGTGAAAGGGAGGCTATGTAACACCAGAGTTACTGGCAGTGCAGACCAAAAAAAAAGGTTTTTAAGATTAAAAACCCCTTCCCAATAAACATTTAATCATGGGAAATATTTAACGCTTCTTCAGATTTTAAGAAAAATAGGGTCTTAAGTCTCCAGGATGGTATTCTAAGAACCTAAAAGAAATATATGCATGGATTGTTTGAAATTTTAATCCTGAATGCTAAGAGAAAATCACAGACCAATTTGACTTTCATGTCCTGAGGGTGGACAAGTGCCACTCATTCTCTGTATCAAGCAACAACTTCATTCGCAATCAATTCTAGGAACAGTTCATCTTTTAAAGCCTAAGTATTTCAGAATTTTAAATAAAATTCATTGCCTTCAAAATATTCTGGACATAATTTTCAAATTATAAATGAGCTATGTTTCAAAACTTTGTCCACAAGCTGGTGACATTACATTTGGAATACATTTACCCAAAAGAGCAACAGTAGACACGACTGTTAAGGTTCAAATGGCTGCTTACCAAAAGCAATGATATAAAATAATACTGTGAAATTAACTATTAATAAGCAATCAATAATTAAATAATATACTTTTTTGATGCAACTCAATGCTGCCATTTGGGGAAAAGTAGATTTAACTGGAAATGAATAGACACTGAAGGATTATAGAAATCAATTCTCTGTCAGTTGAAATTACACTTAAAGATGCACGGTTTTCAAATTTGGATTCCTTAAAAAATAAACTGATTCATTAATTTAAAAAAATGCATGGTTTTCTTCCTTGGTTCCAAGCATCTCACCAGCGGAAGATGGTTGTCTGCGCGCTGCTCTGGACTGAAGCCCGAGGAGAGGAGGGGAATGTGATTGACTGGGAAGAATGGCAGCTGCAGTGAGATGGCAGCAGGGACAGTAAAGGCAGGCGGGGCCCCGCAAACACCAACCAGACCAGGTGGAGGCAGGCGGCCCAGAGGGGGTGCGTGTGTGCGTGTGTGTGTCACGCGACACTGTTCAGATTCATTCAGTGACAAAGTGCTCTCATGTTCCCGCTACCTTATCTACATGCAACGCCTGCCTTGGACTCTTCAGGCAAGTCCCAGGAGGTCTACTTTTAAGTCACTTACTTATGCGTGCTCTCTGACAGAGCTCCTTCCAGCCACTGCTGAATTACTGCATGCTTGAGCTTATCCTTGTGTCCACGCTGAAGCTGGTGGAATGGCTTCAAGGCACTGTCCACATAGGAGGAAGCTGCAGTTGGGACCTCCTGGAATAATTTTGGTAGGAGTGAAAGATGCACAAAAATAAAGAGGAAGAAAGAGAGGGGGAGGAAGGGGAAGGGAGAGAGACAGACACAAAAAGAAAAATGTTAAAAAAAAATAAAGATACTGCTACTGTTTCAGTTTTGAGAGCATTCAACCTCTACCCCTCCCCAAAAGTACACAGATGTCATAGACAGCTGCCCGGAGAACAGGAGGGGGTCAAGAAAGGTAAGCAAGAGAGCACACCTGGAGCCAGACCGCCTTCAATGCTGCAGTCACCTGCGGCCAGTCCCCAGGGCGAGCAGCCATAACTGCATGCCCTTGCTGATGACCTAGCCATCTTGCTAAGTTAAATTCAGTTCTAATTCCATGGGGATGTGAGTGGGGTGTGGCTGACTTCTGAGACTGTGCACTTCTAACAAGCTCCCCTGGGGTGATGCTAATGTTGCCAGGCAATAAAGTATCATTTGAGAAGCAAGGATCTAGGATGAGTAATTACAGCTTTTTTAGCTTTGCTTTCTTCATCCGTAAATAAGGATGTTAGCAGCCACTTCCTAGGAAGAGTAATGTGTATGTAAAGGGTTTAGCAGAGAGTCTGATCCACAATGCAAACTCAATAACTAACTATACTATTCTAACAGCCTCACCTAACAGGAAGGGAAAGTTGACAGATCACTGAAAGAAAAATAATGTATTTTGCAATATAAAACAAACAGGTCTCTCCCTTCTAGCTTCAAGTCAAACCAGAAAAAGCAATTTAGATGACAAGGGGCTTCTGTTACAAGTAGTAATTCTATTGCACGTTCCATATTTTTAAAAAGATCTATTTATTTATTTATTTGAAAGGCAGAGTGACAGCATGCATGTGAGTATGTGAGTGTGAATGTGTGTGTGCGTATGTGGGCATACTTCCCTCTGCTGGCTCACTCTCCAAATGGCTGCAAGAGCCAAGTGTAGCCCAGGTGAAAGCTAAGAGCCAGAAACTCTATCTGGGCCTCCTATATGGATGGCAGGGCCCACGTACTTGGGCCATCGTCTGCTACTTTCCCAGGAACATTAGCAGGGAGCTAGATTGGAAGCAGAGCAGCTGGGACTTGAACTGGCACTTAGACACAGGATGCCAGTGTTTCAAGCAGTGGCTTAATCTACTGCACCCTTATGCTGGGCCTTGCCTGTCCCAGAATTTTTTTTTTTTTTTTTTTTAATTTATTTGACAGGTAGAGTTCACAGACAGTGAGAGAGAGACAGAGAGAAGGTCTTCCCTCCATTGGTTCACTCTACAAATGGCTGCCATGGCCGGAGCTGCGCCGATCCAAAGCCAGGAGCCAGGAGTCCCTTCCTGGTCTCCCATGTGGGTGCAGGAGCCCAAGCACTTGGGCCATCCTCCACTGCTATCCCAGGCCACAGCAGAGAGCTAGACTGGAAGAGGAGCAACTGGGACTAGAACCTGGCGCCCATATGGGATGCCGGCGCCGCAGGCAGTGTAAGATTAACCTAGTGCGCCACAGCGCCGGCACCCCCAGAATTTAAAATGAAGGATGAAACAGCCATAGAGGGAACTGGCACTAATCTCAGTAACACAAATAGCAGACAAGGACTCCACATTCAGCACGTAAGCAAAAGGTCGGATTTAAGCCAGGTATGTTTACAGGAACTCCATATACACTCCAAAATAGCACCATGTTTTCCAACATTTTCACAGGTCCTAAGTCTAAAGTAAACAGGTCCCAAAGTCTTGAAGTTAACTTACTTAAAGACTTTGAGAAAAAATAAAATTACAGGGAGAATTACGTGAGATCTAGCAATGAAATGAAATGGGAATACATGTATAAAAATGAGCATTCAATAGGGAAAATGAAAAACTGGTAAAAATTCTCCAAATCACTGTCATATAAAATAAGTAAACAGAAGGCTTCACTTTGAACATTCCTGCCAATGTTTCTTTTTCCTTTTTCTTTTCTTTTTTTTTTTTTTTTTTTGACAGGCAGAATGGACAGTGAGAGAGAGAGACAGAGAGAAAGGTCTTCCTTTTGCCTTTGGTTTACCCTCCAATGGCCGCCATGGCTGGCGTGCTGCGGCCGGCCCACCGTGCTGATCCGAAGGCAGGAGCCAGCCGCTTCTCCTGGTCTCCCATGGGGTGCAGGGCCCAGGCACTTGAGCCATCCTCCACTGCCTTCCCAGGCCACAGCAGAGAGCTGGCCTGGAAGAGGGGCAACCGGGACAGAATCCGGTGCCCTGACCGGGACTAGAACCCGGTGTGCCGGCGACGCTAGGTAGAGGATTAGCCTACTGAGCCGCAGGCCGGCCGCCAATGTTTCTTATAAATGCCTTGCATATACACATATATATTAAACACAGCTCTTCAAATGTTATTTAAAAAGAGGACAAGATGAAGGGAAAATTTTAAATTAAATTTTTTTTGGAATACAAGACATGAAGATGAACAAGTACAGGGCTTATAAATGTTATTAAAATGATTTCATTAAAAAAAAAAAAAGAAAAACCTATTCAAAAGAATCCAGAAAAAGTCCACACTATACAGACCAAGTGATCTCCTCTGTGCTGCCCGAGGCACCTGACCACTCGCTTGCAGAAATGTCCCTCTCCTCACACACAATATTTTGAATGGGCCTGATTAAGTCAGCCTCAAGCCACCCTGGAGAACCCATTCCTGTGACTCACTTGACCACGCCCCCCACTGCCCACCTTCAGCTTTTCTAACAAACATTTCCCCGCCTCAGCGTTCCCTCAGAGAACGGTGCTGACCTTGTTGGTTCTTCGGTACAGCCTAGGAACCTCCAGGGCACTTTTCAGGTACCTGAAGCAGGACTCACTTAGGTCCTGGATGATCTTGCTGCTCAGGGGAGGTATACAGGCTGATAAGGAGCTCTGGGAGTCCTCAAGGGCCGCTGTGGAGATAGGAAAACCGGGTCTAGTTTTTTTTTTATTCAGGTTCAGTGTATTCTATTTTAAATATTATCAGAGAATTTAGAGCATGTCCTATAATACGTCAAATTATTAGACAGAAGATCTTATTTGGGAAAGTTAAACCCCCAGAACAGAATACAGAAATAATCAAAGCTTTACAACTAGGAAAGAAAATGTTAACCTAAATATACCCTAAAGTCTCTGAAATTTGATTTTAAACTATTTCTTACTCAAAGATTTGTTGACCTTACCTGAGATAGAAGAAAAATTGCTAAATCCAATCATTTCAAGTTTTGGCTTGATTATTTCCAGGAGTTCTGGAAGCTGAAATAAAAATACACTTTATATATTTATTTACTTTTGTATAAATCAAGGGAAGAGGCAATATTGAATACTGTTAATTGAATATTGTTAATGGTGAAATGAAGATCGGGACTTTTAGTGTGATTCATCAAAGGAAGCAACAATCTTAATGCTTTCACCATAAAAGATCTCAACAACATGGGAACAACAGTTTAAGAGCTATGAACAGGCTTAGAGAATAAGCAAAAGTTTTGTATTCTGTGGCTCTCCATGACATCAAAAAGCTCATTAGAAAGTCCCTATCTTGGTCAAAACATACAACTGTATTTGTTTAAGCACCACCAAAGTATTTAAACTTGAGGAAAGCAAAATTACGTATCAGAGGACTTAAACAGAAAATTCATCTCTCAAAGTCCTCTCAGTGTTAAAAGCAAAAATATATGTAACCTATACAGAGAAAATAAGAGGAAGAAGCTTTAATTTTTCAGTACTTTCAAAGTCTGGCTGAAGACTAAATATTAATAGAAAAATCTTCAAGCAAGGGAATTAAAATAATTAAAATCCAGACCATCAAAGGTCATGTCTGAGCAAAGCTGAGTTACTGACAGAAGCGGGAGGAGCCTGGATTCGTGGGGAGCTTGTCACACCACGACTGGGGGCAACAGGTCAACAGGACACTGGAGAGCAGGCGCGAGCTGGAGGAGCAGTGTTCCCTGTGTTCTCAGAAACCTGGGGTGGAGACCGTCTGTTGGAGAAACACCGGGATGAGGAATGAAGTGTTCTTTCTTGGAGCACCTGTGCGCCCATGAGGACAAATGGTGTCCGTCTCCTGCTTGTTCTACTCTGTGAAAACACAGAACTGAGCACCTCTGATTCTTCCGGAACAGGCTCACCTGCTCCTGCAGCGTGTGCAGGTCTGCGACCACGTAGATGAGCTGAGTGCTGGAAATGGAAACCACAGGCTTTGTGTCTGCCGCACTGCTTCCTGGGTCTTCACTGTTCCCTGGGGACGTGGAAGGGTCTCTGCTACCAGTTATCAAAGGTTTTTTGCTCTCCTTGGCAGTTTCATTAGATATGGGCCTGAGTGAAAGCTGAAAAAGGAGTTCAGTGATTAAATACTTTTTCGCTAGCAACATACATGAGTATTTGTATATACGTGGGTGGACAACTGACCAGAAAATGCTAGCTGTCTAGAGAGCACTCAGTAAAAACTAACTGGTGAAGAACACTGTATTGTATTTCCACAGGCAGGTGTGAAGAACAAATTACAACCTCAGGTACACTTACCTTTCCTGTTCACATGCCTAATTTCTTGTGATAAAAAGCAATATGCAAAAAATCAGTAAGTCCCCAAACCACAAGGTTAAAAAAATAATTACCTACATTGACTGCTCCAATGTGAACATGACTTGGTGCCCCAATTCATGGCGATGGTTGGGTTCCAAAGTCAGGGGTTGGGGGTATCAAGAGAGTGAAAGCTTACTCCAATGACAGTGTCTGGGAGGCGGGTCTGGTGGGAGATCCGGTTGTGGGGGGTGGGGTGGGGCGTGCCCTCAGGAGGTAGTTCTCAGGCTTGTTACATAAACTGGAGGAGGGCCCAGCCACTCTCTCTGCCGCCTGGCTCACCAGATGACTGCTTCTCTGCACATGATCCACCACAGCCACTCTCAGGCCCCACCAGACAGCCAGATTAGTGGGGCCTGACTGATCTCAGACTGTACACTCCAAAATCAGGAGCCCAATAAGCTTCTTTCCTTTTTAAGAAGCTTCTCTCAGGTATTTGTTATAGTGACAAAAAGCTAATGCATTAGATAAATAACACCAAGTTAGTAACGGTTAAAAAAGAATCAAAATCCAAACCTCATTATGTTTCAAATAAGAAAAGCCACGAAGTGTTCTTTGTATAATATGTTCTTAAAGGGAAAAAACCAAAGAGAAGCACAGTAGCATCAAGAAAAGAGTAGGATAATGAACATTAAAGGCAGAGTAATTTATCAGAGACAAAATGAGAAGAATGACTGGTTAACAAGAAGGCCCTACCCAAGAATCATTCTAACTCCATCACCCCAGGAATTGTACAATGGTCTTCAAAAATGGATGATGGGTCAGGGCCATCTCTTAAGACCCTTCTGAGCAAATGGAAAGCAAAGAGAAAGAAGCTAACTTCCAGTGAGCTCCTACTATCCATCGGGCACTTCAGTCCACAGATAAAACCTCACAATAGCCATGCATGCAGGCTGTTTTCTGTTTTACAGATAAAGGATCTGAGACTCACAGCACTTATTTTCTCCAAGTCTACAGAATCAAAACATGACAGAGCCAAGGTTTGATTTTTGTCTTAGGCCAAAATCTACACTCTTTCCATTAAAATACAATGACTGGGTTCCTCATCTACTCTAGATAACAAAGATTTCATGTTTTCAATGTGTGCTATCTTCTTCAAGCTGTCTTTTTGTTTTAAATAGAACATTTCTATTGCTTGGCCTTTTGGCTAACATCATGTGTAGTACCTGCTCTTATCAGCTTAACAGAACATTCTTCTCTTCCCATACTCCTCACACTGCAGCAGCCAGCTTATGTGAGCATTACTGGGACTGCTCCTGGGGGCAGGCTGGCTATGCAGACCAAGATCCCGGCAAAGACCTGGTGAGGCTGGTGCTCAGCTGAGCACTGATCTGCACCAAGCTCTTGTGGATCAAGAATTTGAGGCTTTATGTATAATACCAATAAATCATCAAAGTCATATAGGTATTTAATACCTTTAACTATCTGAATGGGGGGAAGGGTATTTTAAAAAGGAAAGGCTAATTAATCTTACTATCTTTAAAAAATTGTGGTTTTTTTGAGAAGCAGAGAGACCTCCCACCTACTGGCTCACTCCCCTAAATGCTCTCAACAGCTAGGGCTGTGCCAGGCTGAAGCTGGGAGCCAGGAATCCAATCCAGGTGTCTCCTACAGGTGGCAGGGAATACTTAGCCCATCACCTGCTGCCTCCTATGGCATGCATTAGGATGAAGCTAAAATCCAGAATGAAGCCGGGGCTTGAACCCAGGAACTCTGATAAACAGCATCTTAAACACTGTTCCGAGCACCCAACCCTTGGATTTTTTTTATTGCAACAATTACATGGTTTTGTAAACCTTCCAAATATTAGTCATTAAAATGCAAATTTTTTGGTTCTAATCCTCTTCATTAAAATGAGCATCTTTGTTTTAATTTGGAAGCACCTCAAAGACTCTGGTTTGGAGGAAGGACAACGGACTTCTCAGGGTGTTGTTTTTCAACAAGACAAGATACCCAGTGACACCACTAAAGGCAACACTTGCAAGAGTAAAGATGAAACACAGAGGTCCACACAATCTGGAAGTCAGCATATCGTTGTCCTCTGAACTAACCCTTCACGACAACATGGCATTTTTAAAAATTTCATTTGGGTGTTCAGGTTAATATTCTCCTTCACGCTTATCAACATTGATGAACTATACGGCCAGCCCTTACCTCACTAACAAACACAGAGTATCGGGCCAAAATCTGCAGAGTGAGTCTCCACAGACGATGCACCAGCAATGGCAAAAACAGCTCATCTGACCAACACTTCCTAAGACTGCTCCATGTTCTGTGAGAAGCCAAAAGGCAATACGGACTTCCAGCTAGGAAAAAAAAAACACATTTAAGGAATTTCAGACAATTATGGGCTACAATCTAGTCTCACATTTTCAAGGTATAAATCAAAAGTAAAGAAAAGTAAAAAAAAAAGACATGGTCAGCAAACATGGTGCTAGTGGAGGGCTATGGATGAACAATACATGTCTCTTGCAATGGCTTTAATGCAATGCATTTGGTAACTCTCCATGATTCCACCTCCCAGGCACCAGGATAACTATCATACATACACAGCATTCAGAAGTAAGGTTTTTAATCAAATTAATTAATACAAGCTGGAGTGTCAGTCATTTGCAAGGGTTTACACTTTGGAATTGACAGTGTCCTGTTTCATTTGTCTATTCTCTTCATCTACTACCTCAGCATACCTACTATGTATACAGTATACTATGTATACAGTACACATATACATATACTGTACGTGACCATATTTGGCAAAGACAGATGAAAACTAACTCTGAAGGGAAAGCAGTGCGGTTCAGATTGACAGTGGACCTCATGCGTAAACTAGAGCAGAAATTTAACTTGAGGAACTTGGACCCAGTACCAATGTGGCTTTACAGATAAGACAGATTAATAAGCATTTCAGTGGTCACTGGGAATGAAGAGATCATGATACAGAAACTAATGAGGCCATCAGGGTATGCAAACATACTCTGGGAAGTCTGCATACCCACAATTATTAGCTGCTCAGAGTTCCAAGACGTGGGGGAAGAAGCCAGCAGGGAGCACACTCCAGCTGGGGGGTCACTGTTGGAGGTGGGCAGGGACACCCTATACCTGTTACTGTGCAGACTAGCCCTCAGCCTGGGAGGAAGGCTGATGACAGCCAGTTTGCTACACACAGAACTGATCGCATCAGCCACAGGGGCTGTATCCCTACTCTTGACATGGCGATATCCAGGCCTGCTTCCCATTTCTTTTTTTATTTTTTTATTTTTATTTTTATTTTTAACAGGCAGAGTGGACAGTGAGAGAGAGAGACAGAGAGAAAGGTTTTCCTTTGCCGTTGGTTCACCCTCCAATGGCCGCCACGGCTGGCGCGCTGCAGCCAGCGCACTGCGCCAATCTGATGGCAGGAGCCAGGTACTTATCCTGGTCTCCCATGGGGTGCAGGGCCCAAGCACTTGGGCCATCCTCCACTGCATTCCCTGGCCACAGCAGAGAGCTGGCCTGGAAGAATGGCAACTGGGACAGAATCCGGCGCCCTAACTGGGACTAGAACCCGGTGTGCCGGCGCTGCTAGGCGGAGGATTAGCCTGTTGAGCCGTGGCGCCGGCCTGTCCCATTTCTTAAAGCATTCATTTAATCACTTCCACAAAGCAAGAAGACCTATAAACCCAAAGATTTGGTTCCTTTTGCCATATATATATATATGTATATATATACACACACACCCCTTTAAGGTCCAACTTACTGAATGACAGGAAAAGATGAAAGTACCCTCTGGGTATCAGGGTCTGGAGGACTTGGTGAGTTTAACTAACTCACTTAGTGACACCTTGTCATAGACCACTTTAAGGAAGTTACCTGGGGCGTCTTCCAGAACATCTGTAAGTGCTGCTTCTAAGGATCCCGCTATTTCTCTAAATCTGCGATTTAAAACAAGAACGCAAGTCAGTGTTTACGCCTCTGTAGGTGCCTTTTCCTATCCATTCTCCCCTCTTCCTGAGGAGTACAATGTTCTTGGAGATGCCCAATGGCCTCGGAAGGCCTATTCTTCTTCTTCTTCTTCTTCTTTTTTTTTAAACTGTGCAAGAAATAGACTATCTTGATCGAGCCACGATAATGCAGGGCTACTCTGTTATTTGCACCTGGCCTGAAATATAACTTACCCCATGTTTCTCAAACTAAAACAAACTGCCATTTAAGTCTCCATCAAGAGGTAGATCCTGAGAACTGCCCCTGGTTATAGTCAGCTACTCACTTCAAGGCCACAAAACCTGAGTGTCTCCAACTCATCTGTATGGGCACCACCACAGAAACACCAATGTCCCCAAGCTAACCAACAGGAAAGCTGTATTCTGTACTTGTGTTTACAGCTCGAGAATGAATCAGGACAAGTGGCCAGTTACAACTGCAACTCACTGCTCAGTGGCCTCTGACGTCAGCAGGTCCCCTCACATCACATGCTTTCACATGTCCCACTCAGTATCCGCACCTTGACTGCCTACACAGTGCCCCTTCTCCTCTGATGACAACTGGTCGACCTGGCATCTCAGATCACCCTGTCACAGACCTTTAATAATGTATACAGATGTGTTTTTTATGGCTGTGAAATGTAACTCTTGGTTTCCAAACCTCTCTGTACCTGGACACTTTTTTGTCACCTGTTAGCTCCCTTCCTAGCAGTAAACTGACTCTCCCTTAAGATGAATTTATCAAACAGATATTTTAGCTTTTTTATAGTATATTTGGTGTTCTTAAAAAAAAAAAAAAACAGTTCAGAGACTGAGCTAAAGGAAATTTCCTAACAAGTAAAAGGAAGAACATGTGGGACAAAAAACTGCAGCCCCAAAGCAACATGGCTGAGAGCTTAAGACTGCCAAAGCCTCTGGCCCACGATGGATGGCTTCTTCCCAGTGTCTGGCCCTCTGTAATTGCCTAACGAAGCTTAGGACAGGCTGGTCTTCCCGAACTGCAGCCGAGGGGCATGGAAGGAAGAAGTGATGGGAAAGTCGAGGGTCAGCGCTGGAGACCGGCTCAGCAATGACAGCAAAAGGAAGCAGTGATCCTGAGCTGCCCTGCAGCTGGGAGAGAAGATCAGCTGCTAGAGGGCACCCTTGCTCCCTCAAGTCCGTGTTTTTCAAAATCTACACAAAGTACCGGAAGTCAGTCCCATACAGAAAAGATAGCCAGTGCAGCATCGTTTGTATCAGGAGAAAACTGGAAGCCACCTAACGGTCAAAAGTAAGGGAATAGTTACATAACCTGGGTCCCTTCAGTGGACTAGCACACAGCAGTATCAAAGTAGAAAGCCCAAAGCGGTTAAGTGACAGAGAAAAGCAGGTATAATGTAGTATCAGCAAAGACATGGGGTGCAAAGTTACACATACCCTGACAATTCTGAAAATCTCACAAAAAACAAAGAGCAAGAATCAAAGTGCAGCAGAGCCTCGATACCTCTGCATTGCACATGGATGCTCTGCCTATCTGTGAGCTTCTGCAAGTAGCTGGGCCCCTGTACCCATGTGGGAGATCCAGCAGAAGCTCCTGGCTCCAGGTTTCAGCCTGACCCAGCCCCAGCCATTATGGCCATTTGGGGAGTGAACCAGTAGAGGGAAGATTCTCTCTCTCTCTGTAATTCTCCCTCTGTAATCTCTCAAATAAATAAAATACATCTTTTTTACAAAAGATGGAAAATATGAATCATGAATAAAAAACCTGTGTATGGATTTCAATTTTTTTTGCACCAAAAATAACATCTCTTGGTTCTATTTTCCCACAAACTTCCTGAAGTATCCTTCAGACCAAATAGCATGTGGACACAGTGGGGTCTCTGGAATAGCAAGACAAAATGTGTTCCCAAGAGGGTGGGGCCGGGGGGGTGGAAGCCATCTTTTGCTGTGAAGATGGCTGGCGTGTAAGCACACAGTGCAACAGAGCATTAATCTGCTTCTGAGACTGCAACCTTACTATTTCTTAGAAAAATGTCAAAACATCTCCACCCCACTGTCTTCAGATTTATTTCACATGACCCTGAAGTGAATCTGATGATGCAACACTGACCCTAACCTTGTTTGCAGAACTTTTTGTCACCCCTCAGAGTAAACAATCTAACACATGATAAAAATCAATAGGAAAGGACTACACAGTCTTACTTGAATTTATTTTTTTGGATGGAAAAACAAATGTATCGAAAAAAGAGTTTCACCCTTCATAATTCAAATGTATGTTTTAAAATTTCATAAATTTTAAATAAATGTTAAAAAGAAAAGTTAAACAGTCCCATTGAATGCGGAAAGATACCATTTGGTAGAGGTAAAAAGTCTTTCAGGCAGCTGATTGTGTTTCAACACAGCTCAAGGCCTAATTAACCAGCTGTGAGGGACGCGGGGGTGAGAAGAGAGGCCATGGAGGCCAGGCTGGGCTGTCAGCGTGGGGCGGGGCCTGGCAGAGCCCACAGCATGGTGGGGAGGCACGTGTGGGGGGGGGGGGAGTTACCAGGCACAGGTTACAGTGCCCGAGGAAAAGGGCTAGAAAAGAAGAGCTTGGAGGCAAGAGGCGGAGGAATACGTCTTTGATGGGACGCCACCGGATTAATGACAGCAGGATGGGAACCTTTTTTCTGCCAAAGGCCACCTGGATATTTCATCATTCACAAGTCATACAAATTATCACCTTAAAAACTATCCTGCTACAGATTTATTGGATTTCAGGTCCCACCTGCAGTTGTCTTGGCAAGGTCTGACCAAATGATTTCATGGGCCTCACGTGCCCTGCAGGCCAGGTGTCTCCCACCCTCACTAAAGCAACTGAATTCCAAATGTGGACCACAAATGAAATGGGGAGATCCTAAATATTATTTCTCTATCTCAGTCTTACTCTGTGAAGAGCTGCTTCACTATTTTTAATTCTGCTCATGAATCAAAAAGGCTTCTTGCCTGGGCTTGATCTTGATGATCCTAAAAATTTGTGTAGTCCATGAATATCCTACATAAACAAGCCCTTTATGGCCTACTTTAAGACAAACTATGTGATAATGTGACCTTGCAACATTCCGCATGAAACACAGTATTGTTTTATATTTTCTGAGAAATGTGATTCCATTATCAAAAGATGATTCCACACATTTTCAATCATGTCAAGCAATTATAATCAAGGTTCCTAATTCCTGACGCATTTCTCTCTCTGTAATTTTTCCTCAGCACTCTGGGGGAAAGGACTGAATCACAATTAATGAAAGCATCCAGCAATTTAAACAAAAAAGGTTAGGCCTCTTCAAAGATCACTTCAACAAAAATGCTCTAATTAATGCCACTGACCTCATTCCAGAGGATCTGCAAAAACGACCATTAACACCTATTTCTGTGGAGCAACATATGGTGCTAAGGGTTTATCCTAAATGCCCCCAGGCATTTTACACAGTCACTATCAACATAAACGTGGCATCATCATGAAACCTGGAAGAAAACTGTCACTGCATTCCAGAATAGGGCAAATGTGACCGAGGACAGGGGAGCTGGAGTAGTAACTGGGATTCTCATGCGCTGACAGACGGGAGTAAGCTGCAAAGAACACTTACAGGAATGCTTCTCCACTGCCTTTGCAGAGGAGCAAACACATGCGTGGGACGGCTCCACCACTAGAGGCAGAGGACGAAACATGGCAAAGGGGAAGAGCGAGGGGCTGTGCAACTCCTTTCTCCACGTCTCACGACAAACGAGGACGCACTGTGTGGGAATGAAGCTGGCCGAATCCAACTCATTCCAAGTCTAGGTCTGAGCTCTCCAATTACCAAAAATAAAACATCTTTCTGTCCTGCAAGTCAGAGCAACCATGATACCCCCTGTACATTTCCACTTCAACTCCCACCTCCCAAAGAACAAAATGGTGATCACACAGAAGGAGGCAACATCCTTAATTGATACTCAATTCTATTTTAGAAGGGCGGAGGAGGGGTGAATAAATGACTGACCTTATTTGAAAATAAACAGGCAAGTTCCACTTATTATTAAAGCTGTGATAGGCAGGATGTGCTCTTAATCTTTTTACACTGGCCTGTGATCCACATTGTTCTTCAAATCTTCTTAAAAAATCCATACTTATGGTATATTTCTAAAATAAAAACAGAAGTTTCATTATTATCAAACTAGTCAGAATTGGGAACATACACTGAAACCTATAATCAAGATTAAAAAAAGGTCAACATACAGAGTCATGGTTTCTAGAGCTGATACTTATTTCGCCTTCCTTCCATGGTCCACTTAAGGATAAGGTAATGCCCAAAATGGTTCTGGGATGTGCTCAAAGTCTTGCATGGCAAAGTCCATCTGAAGCCTAGGTATCTCAAGTATATCGCTTTTTAAATGGCAGTATTTATCTTCCAGGACACCACTAACCCCATCCATTTGGAACAGACCCAGATTAAATGGTATGAATTTAACATAGCCTCTCCAGAACAAGAGGAAGAAGGAGAAAACTTTAAAAAGGAAAGACAGGAAGAGAAAGACTCAAACTATGTGAGTCATCACTCACTTTTATACATGAGATAGCATGAAAAATGACAGGGGGATCTACAAATACCATTGCGAGGAGAAACTAACAGTATTTACCATCAGCACAAGCTGCTTAGAATTGGAGTATTGTATTTAATCCACAAAATTATCCTACAGTGTAACTACTGTTGTCATCCCCATGTCTACAATTTTAGTCTTCTCTTTGGGCTCAGAGAGAAACTGCCCAAAAGACAAACCTAGGAAGCAGAGGAAATAGAGCCCCAACCTGTCAGTAGAGCAAAACTGCAGCTGCACGTTCCTTTTTGGGGTATTCTATCATGTGATCATCATTTGGGGTACTCTACTCTCCAAACCCCAGGCTCTAAAAAGCCCGTGGACTTCAATGCCGCTCTAACTTAAAAGGGGCACACTCCCAAGCCACCAAGCCATCAACCTAAACATGCTGCAGTCTGTGCTCAGACAGGAATTTCAGTGCAGTGAAAACTGCAGGTTGTGGGGCTGGCGCTGTGGTGCAGCAGGGTAAGCTGCATGGGACATCAGCATCATATGGACACCAGTTCGAGTCCCAGCTGCTCCACTTTTGATCCAGCTAACTGCTAATGCATCTGGGATAGCAGTGGAAGATGGTCCAAGTCCTTGGATCCCTGCACCCACTGAGAAACCTGGAAGAAGCTCTTGGCTCCTGGCTTGGGCCTGGCCCAGCCCCAGCCCTTGCGGCCACTTGGGGGAATGAACCAGTGGACGGAATATCTTTCTCTATCTCTCTCTCTCTTCTCTAACTCTGCCTTTCAAATAAATAAATAAATAAATCTTAAAAATAAAGCACAGGTTCTAAATTTCTTCCGTCCGTGTTTTTGGGCAACACGTCAGTATCCCCTGAGGGTGGTCTAGGTGTTAGAGCTGAGACAAAGTGAGGTATTACTCCTCTTTCCTGGGATAAAATTATAGCTCTGCATATAATGGATGCTAAGAACACAAGGATGTTTCCCTCTTCCCAAGAAACATGTTATACTAAGACATAAAGCAAAGTGCAAGTTCATGGAAAAATGAAATTAAAAGATGCTTATTTTGCTACAAAAATACATGCATAGTTTTTTCATAATACTTTTTTTCTCATGAACTTTTAGAAGACAGCTTGTATTTCTTGAATGAAATTGACAGCTAACTACTGGAAATAGTGCCTACAGATATTAAGCAATGGTCTAAAATTATAAAGTCAAGGTTGTATTAGTGTAGTGGTTAAGATGCCAGTTGGACAAGTCTGGGCTTGAGTCCTGGCTCTGCTCTCATTCCAGCTCTTGCTAAAGCAGACTCTGGGGAAGATCATGTGATGGCTCAAGCAGTTGGGTCCCTGTCAACCCACATGGATTGAGTTTCTGGCGCTTAGCTTCAGCCTGGACCAACCCTGGCTGTTGTGGACATTTAGGGAGTAAATCAACGGATGGGAGTTTCTATATCTCTCTTTCTGTATCTCTGCCATTCAAATAAATAAATCTAAAAAAAAATTAAAAAAAGATTAATTTCTGAGTTGACCCATTTCCCAAGTTTAACATGGTCAATAATGTTCTCAAAAGAGCACTTTTTAGCAAACAATAAAACATTTTACATTGCTAGTGCTTAAAAGCATTATTCACTCTGGTTATTTATAAAGGTGTACTTTTTAAATCGCAAAAGTTATTGATATGCAAATCAAAAATAATACAAGTAATCATATGCAATATACTGTAACATGAGAAAGGAAAGAAAGCAGATATTTGGGATTACTGGGACAATAAAGCCCTAAATTTGTTATCTTCACTGTTTTGAAGTCTACCAGGCTCCTTATACATATATCATACCTCTCTATACTTGGAAAAAAAATAATCAATCTACCAGTAGGGGAAACAAATAGAACTTATAGCAATGAAAATTATACTTAAAATTGGAAACTCAACATCCAGATGAAAAGAGTTCAGATACAAGTGAAGAAGGAATTAGTGAACTAGAAGATAGATCCTGAGAAATTATCCAGAATGCAGCAAATATGAAGTGAGATAGTCTAATCAGGAGTTCTAGAAGGAGATACTAAAGGAATAGAAGAGCACAAATGAAGAGAATTGGTAAAAATGTTCCAGAAAGGATGAAAGACATCAATCCTCAGATTCAGGAACCTAAAAAAGCCCTGGTATAATAAACAAAAAGAAGTTCATACTAGACACATCACAATGGAACTTAGCACACCAAAGTCAATGACCATAAAAACATCCAGAGAGAAAGGGCATTAACTACAAGAGTAACGATTAGATTAACCCTAACCACTAAGGTTACTTAATATGAAAGGTCTTCAAAATGTTCATGGAAAATGTGTACTATGAAAAACAACGCATGGATTTCAAAGACTTTCTGCATCAAAATAATTCAGCTCATGATTCCATTTTTTTCACAAACTTTTTGAAGTACCCTTGAATACACAGAAACAAAGGGCATAACTTCTAAACTAGAAGAGGTAGGAAAGCACAGAATACAGGAGGAAAAGAAATCCTCAAAAGTCTAAAAATACAAAGAAGGTGGAAAAGAAAGGGAGGCAAAAAAAGAGGGAGAAGGAAAAGAGGGAAGAAAAACTGACAAATGGGAAGTACAAAATAAGACCCAAATACATCAGTAACTACAATCAGAGTAAATTTAATAGGCTATCTAATTAAAAGAAAAGGATTGTCTTATTGGATAAGAAAACCAAAATCCAGGACAGGAAAAGGTAGAAAGGTACCAAGAAGGTGAGTAGCAGAGAAGGCTAGAGAGCTGGGGTCAGAACTCTGGCCATCTTAACCATAACACTATGTACTGTTTTGAAACGAATGATACAATGGAAAACAAACACATGAAGTTACTTTGAAATCTTAACCACAGAATCTTTAAAGTGATACTTTTTTTGTTGTTGGAAAGAAGGAAATATTAGAGCTTCCTAATTTTTTTAATTACAAAAAACATTTACATAGCATATCCTAAAATCCAATCAGTATCTTTTTTCTCAAAATTATGCAGTAGAGATATAAAAATAATTTTTCTTGGGTAACAACTGTAAAGATTCTAAATTTTAGTGGTCCTTAGGATGTTTTTAAAATTAAAACCTGATTTTTCTGAAGCCTCAGGTTAATCTCTTCAAGAATTAAGATGATAGGGGAAAAGTTACCTCGTGAAATGCATCAGGATTCCCAGGATTAAAAAGTGAGGGCAACTTTTCTTCTAATCCTTGTACTATTTCTGGCCAGAGAGAATTCACCAAAAAGTCATACCCAGGAACAATATTGCCTTTTTCACTGCAAAGTAAGAGTAAAATTTCAGTCAAATATGCCACAATATTCTACTTCCACAAAGCAAATTTCCACAGTGCTGCTTCTGCTTAAAGGTCCTCAGTCTAAAACTTCTCCCAGTCTTTTTCAAAAAAACTACATTTGTCAGCTAGTCTGTTTCTAGACTCAAATTTCTACTTTACTCCTTGATCTCAGTCTCACTGTAAGTCTGCAAATCTCCTGGTTCTGACTCCTATTTCTGCTGTCAAGGATAAGATAAAACCACTACATAAAATTACCTAGTACAGCTTTGCCCTCCAACATAGGATGCCACATCTTTGTGCTCTTATCTTGTAAAACAAAACAAAACAAAACAAATAGTCTAATACCATAAGAAGAGTAATCTTTGCATTCAGCCTAAACACTACTAAACCCTAAAGCAAACAATGTATATATTATGCTAATTTATCAATTACTAACAGCTTTGTGCTTTATCTTTCTCTAAGACTACCTTCAGTTAGAAAAATCTGAGTGTTTCATGCAAAATCTTGACACAAAAAATTGATAACAGAAAATATTTTCTCTGTGGGCATGTTTTATTTTGCCTTTGTTGGTGCTGTACTTTGCATTTCTAATTCACAAACTTCAATGAAGCAGTGTAAAGATTAAACACAAGCTATGAAACCTAACTACCTGAGTGTAGCTCTTGGATCTTAGGCAAAACATTTAACTTCTCTGAGCTTTGGTTTCTTCAACTTTAAAATGGGGACAGAAACAGTATCAATCTCACAGGGTCATTACAATGATGAATATTCATAAAGCACTCGAAAGTACCTAGCTTATAGGAAGTATACGTCGGCAGTAGTTATGAATAAATAAGTAAATAAACAAGGTAGATTCTTTAAGTCAAGTTTCTCTTGAACTTAAAGATCTCTAAGTAGCTTCTAGGCAAATACCATCTCACAGACCTGCCCACCATGAGACTGTTGTGTCTGAATAATATGTTCTAAATATACTCTTTAATGGATTTTAAAATGGACTGGTCTTATTTTAGCAAAGCTTGGAGTTTTGCAGATAACATATCAAATTTAGACTTGACATTATGGTAAAGTATTAACATAAATGGGAGAAAAGTTTTCATACTTTTTCTGCTTGGTAAAAATTATGATCACAAGACAGGTTATCAAGGTGATTTTGCTTCACCATCCAGAAGCAGTTAGTAAATAACTTTACAGTTTTACCTTAGAAGAAATTACTGCAAAAATGGAGGAAGAGTAGAAAGAAGACACCTACCGCCTATCTAATTCCACATGGCTGGTTGGGCATCCCTAATCTGAAACCTGAAATGCTCAGAAATCCCCAACTTTTGGGGCACAGATATGCCAAAGGTGGAAAATCACACACCTGACTTCATATGACAGGCTGCAGTCAAAACACATACACTAGCAATACTGTATAAAATCACCCTCAGGCTATGTGTTTTCGGTATATATACAACATAAATTTTGTGTTTAGATTTGCATCTTTTTACCCAGGATATCTCACTGTATATCCAAAAATCCAGAATAATGTGAAATCTGAAACTCTTCTGATTCCAAATATAGACTCTCAATCATAATAAGAGTTGATCTGTTATCTGAAGAAGGAAGGGACAAATACTGAGGATTTTAAACTACAGATACACATAATCAACATGAAATGACAAAATCTCCTCATTCCAAAGCAAATGTTTAACCTAAAGCCACAAGGGCACATTTTAAATCTGCAAGGTTAATAGCTGACATATAGGGCTGATTAGAAAAGCTAAAAATGAATCCATTTTCTATGCACGATATGTTTCGGAGTGTTGCCAGTTAGAACATTAATGAAGGGAAATGCAAACAAAGAGCAAGGGAAGCCTCACACCTTTGGAAACCTGAGGCCAGGAGCTGGGCAAGGTTAGGTGAGGGATATGCAGCAGATGGAGCTGGGGCAGGTAAAGATGCCTAGCAGGGTACGGTTTAGATCCCTCAATTTCGAGCCTCCCCCATGAATTCAGTTCCACTGAAAACCAGTGGAAAGACTTCTAAAGCTTGGAAACTCGACATTTCAGGACCAAAGACTTGTCCTGCCAAACCTAATGCCAGGTTGTCTTGTAACTATGGCTTCTTCAATTTTATATGATTTCTATATTCTTATCCCCAAATATAAATCCTCATAACTAGATAAAAATGGTAAAATGAGCCTTTACTTGGAATAATACAGTAAAATAGAGAGTACCTAAAAGATCAAGCACACATTAATGACTCATCTTTTTTTCTTTTTCTTTTTTTGCAAAGCACAAAACTTCAAAACCAAATGCATTACTTGCTCCAGGAACTTTATTTGCCTTCCCATCACTGAAACAGCTGAGCTCTTGCATTGTGCAAACACTGATCAGGAAGCTCCCATCTTTAAGATGCTATCAAGAGGTGAGGGAAAATGTGGGCAGTGCAGGAAGCAATCGCATTGCAAGGCAGGAGCAAAAGCAATGTGTCCTGGAATCCAGAGGACATGGTCAGTGTTGAACACAGGTTACAGGATGGTCTCTTTGTGGGGAGCAACCCGGACTAGACTAAGTTACTGGAATTAAGACTTATTCTATGCATCTGCTCTCCCACAATATGGCGCTGAGAAGGGAGAAACAGCTTCTACACAGCTGCTTCCAGTTCAACCAATAAACTGTAGGACCTGCTCCTGATTGGAGGAGAGCAGCGTACTCGGCGTGTGGGTAGCAGAGTTGGGATTGGTGGAAGAGGACTATAAAGGAGGAGAGAGACAACGTGCACCAGGAACATCTAAGAGGAACACCTGTGCAGCCCCCGAGAGAGCCGGCCGGCGGTGTGCCGCTCCCCCGCAGAAGTGGGGAAAGTGGCCAGGGGGAACCGCCCTTCCACGGAGGTGGAAGGGACGGTAGCCAACCCGGGAAGAACCAGCAGCAAACCCGGGGAGGGCCGAGCAGACAAAAGAACAGCGCAGGGTCCTGTGTTGTTCCTCCACGAAGAGGGGGAGCGACACTCTTGAAGAAGTGGGTCTGAGTTGCAGCTTCAAAGGGAGCAATACCTCCACAGGAAGGCTGCCAGGTCCAGAACATACAGGCTTTTAAACACCGTATCAAAAAGCCTGGCCTTCCACTATGAACACAAAGAAGCCAGGAGATGGATGAGGAGGGCAGTCTATGAAGGCATCCAGGTAAATGTGGTAGTCCCAGTGCTGACTGCAGAGGGTGAACTGGAAGCAAGAAGACCAGGTGGGGAGATCTTATTATCCTGCATGACAGATGCCAAGACCTGGACTGGGACAACAGCATGGGTGAAAAGCAAGAGGATATTTATGAAAGAATTAGAAAGATGTGGAAACGACATAAATTGATGGAAAAGTGTATATTACTTCATAGTTAGTCTATAACTTGGATTACACTGATTCGATACTTATAGAGATTATGACATTAGAAGCATGGAAGGAAAGCCACTTTTATATCAAACTAACTTGAGGAATAAGATCATGCAGGGGAAGAAGAAAGGACAGGCTCTGTATTCAAAGATGCACCTGTCAGTCCCAGACTCAAGTTTCTCTTCTGTGAGGATGAGGAAGGCTACTAGGGACCACCTCCCAGTGTTGCAGGAGGGAACAATGAAATAAGCAGGTTCATGATGGTTCCAGCTCACAAGACAGCGTCATCAACCCTGCATTAGCAGTTAACAGGTGTGCTCCCTGACACCGAGACGGAGTCTAATACGCAGGGCTGTGTAAATTACCTAGAGATGGCTCCTCCCGTGACTTCTCGAAGAAGGCGGCAGTGGTGAGGAACGAACTCCAGGAGTTTATCATACATCATCTGAAGGCCACTGGGATGAGACTCAACAAAGTGCTCCACAATCACCTAGGGAAAGGGTATTATCTTCTTAAAAAGTATTTAAATGAGAACTATAAACTATACACTACAGAGAAAATAAAGAAAACCTTAAGTACATTCTCTGTCCACCTGCTTCTCAATTGATATTAATGCAAGTTATAGGTCATGTTCAAAATAGTTCCTAGGATTTAGCTGCACCATGCTAACCATGGGGGAGATAGAGGATGGGTGACAGAGTTTGGCTGGGAGCTGACAAATCATCCACATTCTCTTGCTTCTCTTCTCAACTTGAAAGTAAACACTCGTTTAAAAAATTTAAATCAGACCATATGCCCCTCTGCAGTTCCCTACTGTCTTAACCCTGGCCTTTTTTCTTATCGTCATCTAAATTATGAGGTTTGAGATAGAGAAAGAGGAGAGAAAATACACTTCATTTTATTGTTTTTTTTTTTGTGATAAGGTTGGGAGCCCAGAGATGATGTGAAAGATAAGTATACAAGGTTAAATAAAATAAAATAAGGCTATGGTTTATTTAATTTGCCACAAACTTCAAATATTTCTTTAATTCAGCACGTCAAACTCAGCTCAATGAAAAAGACATAAATTATGGGTGTTGTGGTGCAGCAGGTTAAGCTGCCGCTTGGGATACATGCAATTTCAAAGTGCTGGTTTGATTCCTGGTTATTCTGTGTTTCCAACACAGCTGCCTGTTAATGTGCCTGGTAAGACAGCAGTTGATGGCTCAAATGCATGGGCCCCTGCCACCCACGTGGGCGACCAAAATGATAGCGTTCCTGGCTCCTGGTTTCAGCCTGACCCAGCCCTGGCTGTTGTGGGCATTTGGGGAATAAGCCAGAAGAAGGAAGATCTCATTCTCTCTCTCTCTCTGTGTGTGTTACTTTGCCTTTTAAGTAAAAACAAACAAACAAACAAAAAACTTTTGTAAAAAAAGGCAATAACTAAAGTATTTTCACTTATTGATATAGAATAGTTGGTCTTTTTTTTACCCCACATAGATCTCTGGAATACAAGAGATGAGTGGAAAGAATTGATAGATCATTCATTTTTAGCAATCTTAGCAAAACCAACAGCATTTCTGGAAATAATTCCTACATCTCATTTTTATCTTTGGGGCCTGATTTTTGCCTTTAGAAAATGAAAGACCTTCACTCTGGAGCTATGAGTATACTTTTGTACTTACTGGACAGAAAGAACACTTACACTGATGGGGTGAAGACAGTCTAAACTCTGAGGGAGGCCTCTGTGACTTCCCTTGGTTTGAGCCACATGAAGCTGTCACAATTTTTAATGCCAGAAATAGCTGAATTTCAGCAACTTCATGTGGCACAACCTCCAAGCTGGCAGCTCAAAGGCAGGATGTACTTCCTTCCTGTATTTTAACTGCATCCTAAGAGGGGAAGGATACTAGCGAATGAAGTTCTGGACTTAAGGAGTTCCTCTGCTCATGTGCTGTAACGCTCCTTCATCCTTGCACAGTCCCCCTATCATCTTTCTGGGCCAGCAAACCCAGATTTCAGGATTTGTGCTAAATGTCAGGTGCCCCCTGAAATCTGTTGGTGATCCACTGTCTTTCCCTGACCACAAACCTCTCCATGTCCACAGAGCTCTCTGCACAGGCTCTGTACACTGTAGAGTTGTTACTTGCTTACTTACTTCATTCCACCCACAAGAACAGTGGTTCAAAATGTTTTTTAACAACTTCATTGAAATATAATTTGAATACCATAATTTACACTGACCTAAAAACCATTGCAATGCATACCTTCTTTCTCGATGAAACATTCAGCCCTACTGACTTAGGATAATACCTGAGTCACAGCATCACCAGAACACACCAGACAGCATGACCAATTCCTGGTGTGCCGACTGTAACCAACAGGGACCAGCAGTTTCTTATGGCTGATACTGCAGTAACTACCGGAGTGTTTATAGGAGTATCTCTGTTCTATCTTCTTGCAACCTCCACACCCAGAAAAGAGTCAAAGACAAAAGATGCCCCGTGAGTGCCTGTTGACAGGTGTACAGACCTCATCTATGTATGGTTTCACCAGTACTTGGCCAACTAAGGCCTCCGCATCCCGGGTCTTGTCGATGGTGGCGTAAGTCCGCAAGCAGTGCCGCACTATGTCCACGTTGGAAGTCTGAAGGCCTTCTAACAGCAGACCTTCCAGTGACTGCTGTAACATGGCTGTAATACCAGCTATACGCTGTGAGAAAATATGGATGAGAAATGAAAGCTCTAGTTGGAGTAATTTCTGAACATTCAGAGATACACATAACAAGTATCTTACCCTAACAGAATATATGTAAAATCAAAATATCAACATTTCCTGGAGAGCAAGACTGAATCCCCCTTCTCGTCACAATCTTTGTGCAAATGAATCTCTGCTTTATTGAAGAAGAACTTAGATAGAATCACAAAATGCTATTTTCCTCCAAAGTTATAGAGTAAATCTTTATGATAGACATTGTGGATTTAAAGCCCAGTCAAGGACTTTGGGTAAATTAAATCTGTCCACATTGTCTGTCAATTACATGAAATTCAGAATTTTACTCCTATAGGTTAAAGAATGTGTCTGAATCTTTACATAAATTACATAATGTGTGACACCTATGAGGCAGGAGCCTAAAAACCAAAAACAAATTCAAGTCTGGCTTTAAAATCCTATAGATTAATATCAGGTACATTACTAGGTCAAACCAAAATTATTTAGCAAATTCTGAAACACCAAACTAAAACCACTTACTGGTCTTATTTTGTCCAAAAGAGGCATGCCTTTGCTTTGAACAGCATGGAACTGTAACTGGTTAAATTCTGTGGCAATTCTCTCCAAAATCTGTCCTGTTAAAAGTGGGCTAGGAGAGATAAGAATTATAGAAATTTAATTCCTAAAGTTTTTATTCCCAAGATCTAACACATGATTAGCAAATGTAATGCTTTAACACCCACTGTGTAACTTTCATTAGAGAGTCTTCTTATATGGTCACCTTTTTACAAGGTGAAATCTAAAGCAACCTTTATGCCAAGTCCCCTATAAGGCACATACATAGCATGGCACAGGTATGGTAGGGAATCAGTTAAGTACAAGAGAGTGATGCTGCTTGACCTTGAGCCACAGGGCCCAGACAGAAGTAGGGCTGAACCAGGCCAGTGCAGGAACAAATACATGTTTATACTTTTTGCAGCTCTCCCATTCAGGACCCTCCCCCCCCACCCCCGCTTATCCTATTACTTATATCTGAATCACCTTGTATCTCTCTACCTGTTTCATTCTCCCTTTTCCTAAAATATCCTAACTGCTGTCTCAGTAAACAAACCTGGCTCTCCGGCAGCAATAAATACAACATCTCAAAATAGTTTACTTAAAAATTACCTTTACCAAATAGCTAAAGGAACAGTCAAGCCATATGCTCCAGTCTCAGTGAAAAGCTGTTCACTGTGCATTTTGCCAGAAAGTGTGATTAATGCACTGTTTTTCTAAAGCTCAGTATAAAAGACCACTACCACGCCAAAGGACATAAAAAGAGCAAAGGAGAAGTACTGAAGCACCCACTGGGCTTTGCTGAGGCTTCCTGAATCTGATGATGACAAACCAGTTAGTGGGGAAAACGTCCACACCATAAGGGGATATGCAATGTGATACTGAAGCCACCAGTGGTCTACCCAGTTCTGTATTCACCCAAACCAATACTGAGGGAGAGGAGAGTAACTGCCCAGCACGACCAACCCAAAAGTCAGCTCTGGATATCCCTCCTCCTTCCTGAATATAACCCAGTGTGGATGTATTCTTTGTTTTTTTGTTTTGTTTTGTTTTTTAAGATTTATTTTATTTTATTTTATTTGAAAGACAGAGTTACAAAGAGACGTAGAGACAGAGAGAGAGGTCTTCCATCTGCTGGTTCACACCCTGATGACCACAATGGCCAGAGCTCTGACGATCCAAAGGCAGGAGCCAGGAGCTTCTTCCAAGCCTCCTGATGGGGTGCAGGGGCCCAAGGACTTGGGTCATCTTCTACTGCTTTCCCAGGCCATAGCAGAGAGCTGGATCTGAAGAGGAGCAGCAGGGACTACAACCGGCACCCATATGGGATGCCGGCGCTGCAGGCCAGGGCATTAACCCGCTGTGCCACAGTGCTGGCCCCATGGATGTATTCTTTGTAAATTATCTAAATGTAGGTGCCAGCGCTATGGCATAGTGGGTTAAGCAGCCACCTGCAATGGTGGCATTCCATATGGGTGCTGGTTCTATTCCTGGCTGCTCCACTTTCTATCCAGCTCCCTGCTAATGGTCTGGGAAAATCAGCAGGAGATGGCTCAAGTGCTTGGGCCCCTACACCCACATGAGAGACCCAGAGGAAGCTCCTGGCTCCTAGCTTCAGACTGGACCAGCCCCAGCCATTGCACACATTTGAAGAGTGAACCCAGTGAAAGGAAGATATCACTCTCTCCCTCTCTCTCTCTCTAACTCTGCCTTTCAAATAAAATAAATAAATCTTTAAAAAATTATCTAAATGTTTATGGCCTATACCATGATAAATTTACTAGTAACTAATACAGCTCCGGTTTTTACCTTTTCTATAGTTTAATATTGCTGATATGAGTAAAAGAAAAGCTCAAACTGGATTCAGGTCAAGGAGTAGTGTAATATCTATTATATTTAAAGTGGAACATTCCAAAGGAATAGCATGTACAGTAAAGAAATCGCTGAAGTATCAGAAGCCCATTCCTCACTAGTTGATGATACTTGGTTACTTTTTAGGTACCTATTAGCTCCAGACACTGGCTGTAGTGAGGAAGACCAGGCCTCTGATGCCAGGGACCTTACAGATGATGGGAAAAGGACACAAGCCAATCAACTTGCAGTCCCACATCCCAGTTCTCTGCTAGATGGCCCAGAGGCCTGATAGAAGCAGCAAGAAGGAGAATCTAAGTGATGGAAGACTTTCTGGAGAAGGTGGTCCTGCAATTGAGTTGTACAGAAGGTAACTTTTTTAGTTCTTATTTATTCATTCTGTATAGAACTGACTGGAACAGAGTTTAAAGCAAGCAGATAGAAGCAATAGCATCCAATACAGAGAATACATTTTACAAATTCATATTGCTTTGCATGGTTTTCTCCCCACTTAGGACAGTATCTTGAAAACTAACTACCTTTCTACACTTTGAGCATGTTCTGTGCTAGATCTGCAAGGAGTAAAAGGCAACCAGGCAGCTGAAGAGGAGGCGGAAGTGACAGAAAGGGCCATTAGCACAGATGGACGACTGTACACAGGATGGGCACACCAATCAGCAATCTTTATGGAAGTCAGGGAAGCACACGTAGTTCTGAACAAACAATGAAGAGCACAGGACAGGCGGCACAGAGTGGCTTAGGAGTTAAAATTTATCCAGAAAATACTGGGGCACCATGAAAAGACTTTAATCAAGGGTGAGACGTGATCAGACAAATCCGAAGATCCATCTGGCTGCTGCAGAGCTTGTGTAAGTCCAGGAGACGAAAGGTCAGCGAGGAGGCCGCTGCCCGAGAGGAGAACTGCGAGGATACGGCAGCAGACTCTACTGGACTTGCCTGGTACATGGACGAAGGAGATGAGGGGAGAAGAGGAGGAAAGTGACTTGCCCAAGATTCCTAGCCAGGTCCTGAGGGAAATGGAGGTGCCACAGATTAAGACAAGGAAAAGGGAACAGTGAGGTTTTTGGCTGGTGGAGACATACAGGAAAATAAAATAATGAATTCCGTTTTCGACAGGATTGGTGTGAGGCACAGGCAGAACTTCCAAGAGACTCCCCCTGGTCAGAACGGCATGAGCCTGAGTCCTGGGGAAGCGGGTCAGGAGATAGAGATCAGCACCCGAGAGGTAGCTGGGTAGTTAGGTTGCTTAAGAGAGGCTAAGAGCGCAGCACTGAGAACAGCACTCTGGCAAAGCTGCCATTAAAGGGGACGGTAAAGTCCATGAAAACAGACGGAATGGGCAAACGATGAAAGGAAAACTGCCTGGTATTACAGATGCTGAGTGAGGGCACAGTTGGAGGGGATGTGAGCACCACTGAGTGTAACCAAGAAGCAGAGCAGTTAAAGCAAACAGGGGTCTCCACTGTACTTGGGCCCTGCACCCGCATGGGAGACCAGCCACTGGACTTCGCAGAGGCATCAGTGGTGACTGACAGACGCAGATGAAGAGGAATCCAAGGGCCAGGGCATGAGTAAAGCAGGCTGAGAAACAATGGCAGGGACTGATCACTCATGTATACAGCTTAATTATGAAAGGGAGTAGAAGCCGGTGCTGAAGCTCAATAGGCTAATCCTCCACCTAGCGGCGCCAGCACCCCGGGTTCTAGTCCCGGTCGGGGTGCCGGATTCTATCCCGGTTGCCCCTCTTCCAGGCCAGCTCTCAGCTGTGGCCCGGGAAGGCAGTGGAGGATGGCCCAGGTGCTTGGGCCCTGCACCCGCATGGGAGACCAGGAGAAGCACCTGGCTCCTGCCATCGGATCAGCGCGGTGGGCCAGCCGCAGCGCACCGGCCGTGGCGGCCATTGGAGGGTGAACCAACGGCAAAAAGGAAGACCTTTCTCTCTCTCTCACTGTCCACTCTGTCAAAAAAAAAAAAAAAAAAAAGGGAGTAGAGACCCAAGATGGTAGAATCACTTCCTTTTTGGATGTCTCATTTTTTAAGATTTATTTATTTATTTGAAAGTCAGAGTTACACAGAGAGAGATGGAGAGGCGCAGAGAGAGAGAGAGAGAGAGAGAGAGAGAGGTCTTCCATCCAATGGTTCACTTCCCAGTTAGTTGCAACGGCCAGAGCTGTGCCAATCCGAAGCCAGGAGCCAGGAGCTTCTTCTGGGTCTCACACGAGGGTGCAGGGTCCCAAGGACTTGGGTCATCTTCTACTGCTTTCCCAGGCCATAGCAGAGAGCTAGATCGTCAGTGGAGCAGCCGGGATTCTAACCGGCGCCCATATGGGATGCCAGTACTGCAGGCAGCGGCTTTCCCTGCTACACCACAGTGCTGGCCCCGATGTCTCATTTCTTAATCTACAAAATGAGAGGTATGGAGCATGCTGTCTCTTAAGTTTCTTCTCAATCTAAAAATTCTGGTTCCTAAAACTAAGAAATCTAACATGCTTTTACAGTCTGATCGGGACTATGGACAAGTATATGCAATTTGGTCTCGGCTGGTTTTCTAGCAGCTTATCACATATTAATTGCAGAAAAATGTTACGGCTATACTAGCTGATGGTCTCTCACCAGGCTGTCAAACAACCCTGCCAAGTGGAGTTACAATGAACCTTATATTACAGATGACAACACTAAGATACAGAGTGGAAATAACTTGACCCAGGCTACCCAGCTGGCACAGGCAATATAAACCATGCTCTTTCCATCACACCTGTGGCTTCCAGATTGTGTTGATACCAGCTTTTCAACTCATTTTGAGCCACTCATCTGGCTGTTTTTAAATTCAGAATAGGAAGGTCATAAGACAGCTACAGTAAAACAAAGGAAATGGTCATCATTTCATTTCATAAGCTTTTTCTTTGCTGTTTATGCATTTTAACTAAATATGCTCCATCCTTTTTCTTAATGATAAAATGCTAGCTCATTTTGAACCTCAAGGCACATCACCTGTAATACTCTGGGCCTGTCTAAAACCTTGAATATCAATAAGAATTTGCTAGTCCATTGAGAAAAATATTCCACACAAAGCACGCTGCCTCTGATTCACTCAAGGTGAGTGTTGGAACTGAAGCCTATAACCACAAAGGCTTTGTAGGAACATGTATCATAAACTTTAACATTTCATACACCCCACTTTTCTAAAGTTATACTTGCATTTAAAACAAAGGGCCACAGACTTAAATTTTCTTTTTTTTTTCCAGATCAGAGATAAAGTATTAGCTTATGCTTTATTCAGTAAAGAATCCTTACCTGCTTGCTTCTAGTGCAGATGTTTCTTTAGAATTTTGAGAGTTTAAGATTTTTTCAATTTTCTCAACTGATCGAATAACTTGTATAAGCCTCAACACACACATCTACAAAAAATGAAAACCAAAAAAGTTCACTCTTGTGTTATTTTCTCATACTAAATCCAAAAGTCAACGCTGAATACTTAGAACATTCCATAAACATGAATTTCTAAAAGTGCAAATCTTAATTTTGGCTTTCTAGAACAAGCTTATTTCAATATTGCAACACAAGTTTATAGTTTAAAAAACAAAGAACAAGATGTGCTTGCTTTCTCATAGTCTTAACTCTTATTACATCTTTCTTTTCCCCATCTTGAATGAACCTTTCTTTTGGCACAACACTTATTTTCTTAAGACCCTTTCTTCACGTTGTAATTTTAGTTTCTGATCACATTTATCCTATTTGTATATGCATGATGCATCTAAGCAGCTACCTGTCAATTCACTGAAGACATTTATTACAGAAGGCAAGCTCTTTAATAATATTTGCCTTTCAAATAAATAAATAAGTCTTAAAAAAAGAAGTTCTGAAATCTAAGTCTGCTCTTATGTAATTATGATTATAAAAAAAAACAAGAAATACAATTAAAACATAGGACTACTAAAAAGTACAGGCACTGCACGCTGAGGTATATATAAAAGGGAAAAAGAAAGAAGCAACAACATAACAAAATGAGAGCAACACCTTCCTTTTTCCAAAACCAAAAACCTGCAGAGGAATATTCAAAGAGCTTGCATTGGAAAGCCCACTCATCCCCTCATCTTTAAAGTATGATTAAGAACACCTTCTTGGCAATGCTGCTAGAAAAACGATATGCTTGCTGAACTTTAAAGTGCTTCACTGTCAGTTACTACTGTTTATTCTTTTAAAATCACAAGGAATTTAAATTTAGTCACCACTTAGGTACCACTAAAATTCTGTATTCTTATTTCAAACAGAAAACATGACTAAAAAGGTTGAGAAGACACGAGGAGGAGCCTTTAGTTCACATGAAACATAGACATCTACAGCTTGCTTTAAAAATTCCTCATGCTATCTATGTGAATAAATCTTTTTTAAAAAAGATTTATTTTATTTATTTGAAACACAGAGGTTACAGATGAAGTAGAGAGAGAGAGGTCCTCCATCTGCCGGTTCACTCCCCAGATGGCCACAACAGCCAGAGCTGTGCCAATACGAAGCCAGGGGCCAGAAGCTTCTTCCGGGTTTTCCATGTGGGTGCAGGGGCCCAAGGACTTGGGCCATCTTCTACTGCTTTCCTAGGCCATAGCAGAGAACTGGATTGGAAGAGGAGCAGCCGGGACCAGAACCGGTGCCCTTATGTGATGCCGGTGCTCCAGGCCAGGGCTTTAACCCACTGTGCCACAATGCCAGTCCCGTGAATAAATCTTAATGTGAATAAATCAAAGCACAAGAAGAGTAAGACATTTTCTGTTCCTTTAAAAAAAATTAATTACTTGAGGCTGGCATTGTGGTGCAGCAGGTAAAGCCACTGCCTATGATGCCAACATCCCAAATGGGTACTGGGTCCTGTCCCAGCTGCTCCACTTCTGATCCAGCTTCCTGGTAAGATGTCTGGGAAAACAGTGGAAGATGGCCCAAGTCCTTGGAACCCTTTACCCATTTGGGAGACCTGGAAGAAGCTCCTGGCTTTGGTCTGGCCCAGTCCTAGCCACTGTGGCCATTTGGGGAGTGACCCAGCAAATGGGAGAGTTCTCTCTTTCTCTTTCTCTGTCTCTCCCTTTCTCTGTACCTGTAACTGTGCTTTTCAAATAAATAAAAATAAAATCCCTTAAAAAATTACTTCACTCCACCCCTCCTATTTACAGGACTTTACCGAGGCTGGAGTGAGAAAACCCAAGCTCTGCCCTTCACTAGCCTTGCTAGGCTACGATCCCTACATACAAGAGACAGCATGCTTTTCTCTGCAGAGCTACCAGGAAGGGCAACTGGGACCACGGGCCTGAAAGCACTCATAACTACAAGGTGCAAGAGTGAGTCAACACTTTAATATTATGATATTTGAGTATACCTTTTTTTTCCTAATGTCCTCCTGTTTAGACATTCGTTCATCTACTGCCCGAATTCCTTCACTGACAGATGATCTAAGACTCTTTAAAAAAATAAAGAAATGTAACATTATGAAATTTACACATTTAATTCAATTCATAGGACTTAATAGCTACAGATCAGTTTTATGCAGATATTGACAAAATCATAAAATATCAGATACAACTGCTGTCTAGGAAATTCACAGTTTAGGGGCAAAATGACATATAAAGCAAGGTCATGCAGGATTTACCACCAAAGAAAAATGATGCATACACAATAAACATCACAGATGACAGAGAAAGGATGACCTCAGCCAAAAGGGTGCTTAGTTAGCAGAGGGGGTAGGACGTGAGGAGGACTGAAGATCTGTCACTGCTGACGGGTATGAAGAAGAGACTGTTAGAAAATAAAAGGTAGGAAGACTGAACCAGTCAGACAGGTCCAAGGTCAGTGAAGCACACGTCCAGGTGCAGGGCAGTCTATTTCAGAGAAGCAGAAACAAAGAGGGGTTGATTTCAGAGGACTTTGCCCAGGAAAGGTCTTCAGATTAGATTTTACGCAGTTCAAGCACTGAGGTTGTATCATGACAAAAATAGTTTTATAAAAATTGGGAATCTGCGGCCGGTGCTGTGGTGTACCAGGGAAAACTGCCACCTGCAGTGCCAGCATCCCATATGGGCATTGGTTCGAGTCCCGGCTGCTCCTCTTCTGATCCAGCTCTCAGCTATGGCCCAGCTGCTCCACTTCCAATCCAGCTCTCTGCTATGGCCTGGTAAAGCAGTGGAAGATGGCCCAAGTCCTTGGGTCCCTGCACCCACGTGGGAGACCCAGAAGAAGATCCTGGCTCCTGGTTTTGGATCTGTGCAGCTCTGGCCATTGCAGGCAGTTGAGGAGTGAACTAGAATGGAAGACCTCTCTCTCTCTCTCTCTCTCTCTCTCTCTGCACCTCTCTTTCTCTATCTGTAGAACTCTGACTTTCAAATAAATAAATAAATCTTAAAAAAAAAAAATTGGGACTCAAGAAGTACAGGGTGAATAGAAGGGAGAGGTGGAGAATATGTCCAGAGACTCATGAATTAAGCCAAGCATGAGCCTAACTAGGAATTGAGGCCAAATGACAGTGACAGATACTGAAATAAACTAGACAAATCACAAATCTTCTATAAAAAAGTGAATTTGGTCACTCATTGAACACCTGTCATGAAATGGCTAGTAAATGCAAACTATTAAGGAAACAATGATGAATAAGACAGAAACAATATCATCCCTCAGTGGTCTCAGAATCTCATAGAGCAGCATTATGAATTGGGTCAAAAAGGAAAGAAAGGTCTATGGCTAAATCAATTAGGAAAAGGTGGCTATCAAGATTGCTGTGGGAAAAGGGAGGGGTGGTGATGCTGGCAAGCAGTAAGGTAGGCTGAGCCACAAAGCCAGAGGGATGATAGAGTCTGAGAGAGAAGAGTGGCTAAGACTTTTGGGAAACATCTTATCTGCAAAGTTGGAGACTTGGGGATAGGAAAAACACTTAAAAGAAGACAGGAGAGCCACAGAGAGCCATGCAGAGGCCAGTGTGGAATCCAACAGTGAACCACAAAAATGATTTTCTTAAGAGAAGTACTTTAACAAGCTTCTTAAAAATACCTGCTAGTTCAAGATACAGCTCAAGACTTAACTCCTAGAAATTCTTTCTTGTCTACCCCTCCTATGGACTTTTTTTTTTTTTTTTTTTTTTGACAGGTAGAGTTAAACAGTGAGAGAGAAAGACAGAGAGAAAGGTCTTCCTTTTGCCGTTGGTTCACCCCACAATGACCGCTGCGGCTGGCGCACTGCACTGATCCGAAGCCAGAAGCCAGGTGCTTCTCCTGGTCTCCCATGTGGGTGCAGGGCCCAAGGACCTGGGCCATCCTCCATTGCACTCCCGGGCCACAGCAGAGAGCTGGACTAGAAGGGGAGCAACCGGGACAGAATCTGGCGCCCCAACCGGGACTAGAACCCGGGGTGCTGGTCCTATGGACTTCTAAGCACTAATATTTCTGTTATTCTGCATTTTTTTCAGCATTGTACCTGCAATTAATGTTTATTTAAGTCATCTCCTGACTGCCAACTATGTGGCAGGCACTGTCTCAGGTGCTAGATGCATAAGGCCATTGAAGCTCCAAATGATCGTGTAGGGACACATGCAGGTGATGATGGTACGGTACAGTGCACCAAGTTTCTATAGCTCATCAATGCTGAGGGCCCTGAAGTCAGGGTACCTGATAGAGACTGGGGGTAGACCAACAGGAAAGCAGCGGGTAATACCATTTGCTGTTGGAAGTGATGCCAAAACTACTCCCTCAATTATTGTTCATCCAGATGGAGTCTCTGACCCCGTGGCTTAGGGTTAAGGAGCCCCAATGCCAGAGCACACATTGTATCAGAGAAACATTAAAATACAATGTTTACTAGGTACTGCATTAATTTTCTATTATCCTTAAACTACATTAAGGTTTGAAGTTTTTGTAGACTGGCCTAGGAATCTAACTACACATAAAATAGAATTTGTAATAAAATTACAAGTATTTAAAATACAAGCATTTGTAAGCTCGTAACTACCTACATACAACAGAGTGGCAGTAACAAGTTGAATTTTCAAACAGCTTTCTTCTCTTTCCTCCACATTTTAAACCTGTCTACTCTGAGAATCTGTCATCTTCGAATCAAACATTGTTTTCTAGGTTGCAGCACCACATGTAAAAAATGGAGAATCATTACAACTTTGTTGAGGGTGAATACTGCTATCACTAACAATTCAAAAACAAAACAAAATAAGACAAACAAAAGAAAAAAAAACCCACCACCTAACAGATCAAAAGAATTTTTCTTTTATTGATTGATTGATTGATTGACAGACAGAGTTAGAGAGAGCAAGAAAGACAGAGAGAAAGGTCTTCCTTTTCCATTGGTTCACCCCCCAAATGGCTGCTACGCTGCGCCAATCCGAAGGCAGGAGCCAGGTGCTTCTCCTGGTCTCCCATGGGGTGCAGGGCCCAACACCTGGGCCATCCTCCACTGCACTCCCTGGCCACAGCAGAGAGCTGGCCTGGAAGAGGGGCAACCGGGACAGAATCCGGCACCCCAACTGGGACTAGAACCCGGGGTGCCGGCGCCGCAGGCAGAGGATTAGCCAAGTGAGCCAAGGCACCGGCCAGGAATTTTTCTTGGGGGAGGGAAACAAGCATATCAAACTTCAGGGCAGACTGCTTAATATTACTTGGGAAACTTACCAGAACCTCTTCCCGTAACTGCCCCAAAGGCACAGAAAGCTGGTTTAGAGCTTTGTCCATGCCAACCTAAAGGCAAAAATAATGTTGGTAGAAACACATCAAAATCAAGAGTAATAGCTGAGTACCTACTTGATGATCAAAAGAGTATTAGACTTGGATTACTCTTTCTGTACAACAAAGGACGTGTGCTAGTAACTAACAACAGAAGTGTTATTTTGCCATAAAATTAAACTATTCCCCTTCCAAAAAAAGATTTGCCCCTGAATGAAATTTTTTAATGGATTTAAAAACTTTTAAACAGGCGGTGAATAGCTATCTGTCTGTAACTGATGACTTTCAACTGGCTTATGTGAAAGTCTAACAGATTGTATTTCTTCCCAACATTATAACCCTTGAGAAAAATCCAAATTAAATAGCACGGAAATAAAATTTTCTGGTCTTCTAATCCTACCAGCACATTTACTGTAGTTGTGCATTTCCCCATAAGAAATATGCTTGTTAATTTTAATGCTTCTCAGAATTCCCAAGGCAATGGCTGCTCTCTGTATTTCTCTGGACAAACATACTTTTTTTTTTTTGACAGGCAGAGTGGACAGTGAGAGAGAGAGACAGAGAGAAAGGTCTTCCTTTTGCCGTTGGTTCACCCTCCAATGGCCGCTGTGGCCGGGCACTGTGGCCGGCGCACCACGCTGATCCGATGGCAGGAGCCAGGTACTTATCCTGGTCTCCCATGGAGTGCAGGGCCCAAGCACTTGGGCCATCCTCCACTGCACTCCCGGGCCACAGTAGAGAGCTGGCCTGGAAGAGGGGCAACCGGGACAGAATCCGGCGCCCTGACTGGGACTAGAACCTGGTGTGCCGGCGCCGCAAGGCAGAGGATTAGCCTAGTGAGCCGCGGCGCTGGCCTGGACAAACATACTTAAAAGCAAAATAAAACACGAGTAAGAAGGCTAAGTGGTAAACATTGGGAGCTAAAGGCTCAAGCATCTCTAAATGACTTACAAGTAACTGATATTGTCATTACAAATGATTCTTATTTTTCATAAAACTAAGTCTCCTAAAGATCAATCCTGGCCAATGTTCCCTCAACCTAGCTCTGGCTGGCATATGTTTCCGAAAGCAAATTAAGTATTTCCTGCAAATGTACTGTAGACCAGTGAGCTTTCATGGTAATCAGCTAGTAGCTAACAATAAACAACCACTCTGCTACTACCATCCTCCGCTTGTCACTAATTCTTAACACCTAGTTCAGAAAATAATCAAGTTAGGACTGTCTGAAATGAGTGAAAACCCAAAACAAAAACCTCTACCAAGAAAGTCTGGTTCTTTATTAAGATTAGTGAGCTCTTCAAAGTTCTGGGTGAAAATCAACTAAAAGGTTTTTAAAAATGCTCAGACTGTGTGTGTTATGTAATCAGTGACTGGTAGGGATTGTGGATTTAAATGTTACCAAGTTTGTTGAAAGGTTGACAAAGTCTGCGTAATCCTTGTTGATGAGTTCGACCATGGCTGTTTTAAGAAGTTTGTAGTAGAGTTCCAGGTCATCTCTCAGTTCTTCCAATTGAACCCGCTTCCTACAGTCAGACACAAAATGATCAACATCGAAATCCTCCTGAAAGGTAAACCAAAAGAGAAAAAAATTACTGCAATCATATCGCATTTATATATATATTTATTTATATATATAAATATATATATTTATATTATATATATTTATATATTATATATTTATATTATATATATAGAGAGAGAGAAAGAAAGAGAAGCCATTCCTGTCATTGGCAAGGTTATATTACAGCAGAAAGAAAACATCTCTGGGTTACTATGCATGACGACATAAAGCTGCTTGCTGACTTTATAAACATGTCAAGAAGGCAGCCCCCTAACTATAACATTCTCTCCTGTTGTCTAAATTCCACAACGGAGTTTTTTTTTTTTTTTTAAGATTATTTTATGTATTTGAAAGACAGAATTACAGAGTGAGGTAGAGATAGAGAGGTCTTTCATCTGCTGGTTCAATCCCAAGATGGCTGCAATGGCCGGAGCTGAACTGACCAGAAGCCAGGAGCCAGGAGCTTCTTCCAGGTCTCCCATGTGGGTGCATGGGCCCAAGGGGCCATGTTCTACTGCTTTCCCAGGCCACAGCAGAGAGCTGGATTGGAAGAGGAACACCCAGGACTAGAACTGACACCTATATGGGATGCCAGTGTTTTAGGCTAGGGTTTTAACCTGCTGCGGCACAGCACCAGCCCCATATAATGGAGTTTATTTTTTTAAATGACACCTTTCAGTCAGGCTCTTCTCAAAATGGAAACAGGTTTTTAAAAGCAACAAATATTCAATGTAAAACTTTCAAAGAATTTACACAAGGAATAAAAAGGCACTCAAACTCTCATGCTCTGGAGATAAGCCCTATTAATATTTTTAACACTGTGATTCATAACTCTCCAGATCTTTTTTTTTTTTCACAAACATGCACACATACTCTCACAAAATCTTAATACTCATGCTGTTGTGTAAACTGCTTTTCCCCATAAAACAATACGATCTGGATGTCCCTGTGATATATACATATTTGAATTAATACTTCACATAGATTTTGAGTATTCCACTGAATAGGTTCTCGGAAGCTTGCTGAACCAACTCCTATTGGCCTCACAGGATGAACTGTGCTCTCTGCCTCCCCTCTGCAGCATTCTGATGGCCCTGCAGGCTGACACACCCATAGCTAGCAGGTTACCTTCTACTTTACCTGTGATTTTGAGCTACTCAGTCACCAACAATCACATGTGATGATTCCCAAACTTGCTAATGCTGCCTGAACTAATTATCACAATTTCATAATTGTATTAAACATTGTGTAAACTGACAAAAGATGAGGAAAAAGAGTTGATTCTATGAAAACTAATGCAGGTGCTCTGGAAAAACTTGATACAGGCAAACTGCTAAGAATATTTGTGTTGAATTAGATATGGGTAAGATAACCATAAACGTGGAAGGGACTCTATATCCAAATTCTTATGCCTTCAGGTTCTCACTCAACTTCAAGAAACAGAAACTGCATTCAAAAAGCACAATATGGAAATCTAATCAGGAGATCCGTTCTCAGAGACAAGAGCATTGTACCACATCAATGAAGACTAAATGTATATACTCTCTCTCTCTTTCTCTCTGTAACTCTTTTCAAATAAACAAATCTCTAAAAAATAAAAAGGGGAGGGGGCGGCATTGTGACATAGCAGACAAAGCAGCCATGTGCAACACTGGCATCCCAGATGGGCACCAGCTCTAATCCAGCCCCACGCTGATGTCCTGGGAAAAGCAGCAGCACAAGCCACCCATGTGGAAGATCCAGATGAAACTCCTAGTTTCTGGCTTCAGCTTGGCTCAGCCCTGGCTGTTACAGCCATCTGGGGAGTGAAACAGCAGAGGAAGACCTATCTCTGTCTCTCTCCCTAACTCTTTCAAATAAATAAGTCAACCTTTAAAAAAAGATAAACTATTAGGGCTGTGTACCTGCCCTGATAGTATCAGTTAAGAGGACTTAGCCACCCTTTCACAGCCACTTACTGTAAAACCATCTGCTTCCCACTACTTGTCATCCTCGATCAGAGTGCCAGCTCGAGTCCTGCTGCTTTGCTTCCAATCCAGCTCCCTGCCACTGCACCTAGGAGGGCAGCAGAAGATGCACCAAGTGCCTGAGACCCTGCCACCTGTGTGGGAGACCCGGATGGAGTTCCTGGATCTTGGCTTCAGCCTGCTGCAGCCCTGGCTGTTGTGGCCATTTGGGGAGTGAATCAGTAGATGGAAGATCTCTTGCTCTCTCTGTCTGCCTCTCCCTTTGTCTCTGTTGCTCTGCCTTTCAAATAAATACCTTTGTAATTTTTAAAAGAAAAAAACCCATCGGCTTCCTTATCTCGGTCTGCACATTCGCTTGCTGGGGTGACCTGAGACAACTCCCTTCATTCACCATTATGTAGCACGTTATGGAAAGACAGGGACAGGATTCATTTTCTCATTCTGACCTTATTACTAACCAGTTGTATGATTTTAGGCAAGATCACACTACCTGCCTCGGATAAATATTCTTTGAGATTCTATCCAGATCTGAACTTGATGAAATCATCCTAAAATGTATAACCCAGCTCCAATGGAAAAAAAGTCACTACATAATAATAAACTCAATTTGCCGTTTGTGTTTTCAGATAAACCCATGTCACACAGCCTAAGAACTAAGTGCCTTAGAACATCTCTGCATCCAGTAGATTTTTTGATGAAGATAACCAACCACAAAAGTGCAGTGGCTGGTAACAATAGACACTTATTTCATTCACCAAAAATACTTCTACTTCACATTACAGATTTATTAAACATTGAAAAAGAACTTTAAACCTGTATATTACAAATGATTTTTGACAAGGGTGCCAGTGGGGAGAATAACAGTGCAGGAACAATTGGATATCTACATGCAAGATAATAAATTTAGACACCAATCTCATACCATTCCTCAAAAAATTTAACACAAATGGGTCAGATGTAAATATAAGTGCTCAAACTGTACCATTCAGGCCAGCGCTGTGGCGCAGCGGGTTAACACCCTGGCCTGAAGCGCCAGCATCCCATACGGGTGCTGTTTCAAGACCTGGCTGCTCCACTTCTGATCCAGCTCTCTGCTTTGGCCTGGGAAAGCAGTGGAAGATGGCCCAAGTGCTTGGGTCCCTACTCCCACGTGGAAGATCTGGAGGAGCCAGGAGCTTTGTTGCGGCCAATTGGGGAGTGAACCATCAGATGGAAGATCTCTCTCTCTCTCTCTCTCTCTCTCTCTCTGCCTCTCCTCTCTCTGTGTAACTCTTTCAAATAAATAAATAAATCTTTTAAAAAAATCCTATAAAACTCTTAGAAGGAAAGAAAGGTAGAAATGTGCGTGGCTTGGGATTAGGCCATAGTTTCTTAGATATGACACCAAAAAGAAAGACAAAAATGGTGCTTAAAGACTTTAATTCATCAAAGGTAAGAACACACAGAGACAACTCACAGAATGAGAGAAAACATCTAAAAATCATGTATGTGACAAGGATCTAATATGCCAAATACACAAAGAGTTCTTACATCTCTGCAATGAAAAGACCAATAGCCCAATTTTAAAATGGACAAAGGATTTGTATTGACGTTTTTCCAAAGATTATATGAATGGACAAAAAGCGCAAGAAAAGATGCTTGACACAATTTGTTATTAGGAAAATGCAAATCAAAATCACAATGAGATATCATTTCACACCCACCAGGAGGGCTATCATTTTTAAAAGTGGGGGGCAGGGAGGGAAGCAGAAAAAGTATTAGTGAATAGGTGGAGAACCTGGAGCCCTGATACACTCCGAGTGTAAAATCATGCAGCCACTATGGGAACCAGTCTGGCAGTTCCTGAGAAAGCTAAACATAGAATTACCCAGTAATTCCACACCTGTGTATATACCTGGGTTGAAAATTGGTAACTCGTGGGGTTAGTGTTGCAGGTTAAGCTGCCATTTGCAATGCTGGTATCCCATATGGGTGCTGGTCGAGTCCCACTTGCTGCAGTTCCACACCAGCTCTCTGCTAATGCGCGTGGGAAAGCAGTGGAAGACAGTCCAAGTACTTGGGCCCTTGTACCCATGTGGGAGACCCAGAGGAGGCTCCTGGCTCCTGGCTCCAGGTTTCAGACTGGCTCAGCCCCAGTTGGTGTGGTCATCTGGAAACTACACCAGCAGATGGAATCTCTCTCTCTCTCTTTCTGTCTTTCCCTCCCTAAGTTAGCTTTTCAAGTAAATCTTTAAAAAAATTTAAATTGATATTCTCATAAAAACATGTATACAAATGTTCACAGCAGCATTAATTCATGACAAGCAAAAAGTGGAAACAAACGTTCACCAACTAATAAATGGGGAAACAAACCGTGGTGTGTGGTGTATCCTTGCAAGAGAGTATTCCTCAACCACAAACAGGAGTAAAGCACACAGGCTATGCATGAACCCTCAGTGGGGAGGCCTGCACAGGTCCTAGAAATCAGTGATGTGTTCGTTCACAAATGCTGTATTGTAGGTTATGTGAATCATCTCATTTCTTAAACAGAAAGAACTTAAACGTTACCATATAAAATGTTCAAATACATTAACAATTTTTATGGAAACAGTAATAGGAAAGCTAAAGTAGCTATATTAATTTCAATCAAAGGGGATTTCAAAGCAAGAAAGATTATTAAAGAGGGGAATCACATTATAATAATGTAATGACAATTCTCTAATGAGATATAACAATCTTAAATGTGTATGTGTTTAACAACAAACTGTCAAATAAGACAAAAACTGACAGCACTTCAAGAAACAAATGAATCCCTCATTATGGTTGGAAGTATCAACACCCCTCTAGGAAATGGGCAGATGCCACAGGCAGGAAACCAGGAAGGGTACAGCTGACCACATCATCAATCAACTGGACATGACGAACAGCTTTTGGCTACTTCACTGAGCGACAGCAAGAAGCACCACATTCTGGGCCACCACACACCTGCCAAGGTTGTTTATTTGGTGGAGGCTTGGTCCCCAGGGTGGTAATGTTGGGAGGTGGCAGATTTCA